CTATGATTTAAGTATTTGTTGATTCTTGTCTTAATTTATGAAAGTAGATATCATTCAAATTGACAACTTGATTTATTATTTACTTTCTAGTGCTATCTTCTAGTTGAATGTTACGTAATAGACACGAACCGGCAGTACTGAGTAGCAATTAAACATAACATGTGTATTGGTGAGACATTGAATATGCATGTTAGTTTAAATGTGGAATCAATGAGACAAAGTCTGAATAGTTGTAGCTATCTCAAAAATTTCTTCTGAGTCTGTGCATTATGTGTTGCACCCTGAATACTTTACTTGCGTACTTTAGCCATGATTCTGAAATAAACTTAACATGTATGTGTAATTGTCTAAATTCATGTGATATGCCAAAGTTTGATTTGATTTGATTCATTCAGTATTTGTACCATGTGCATGTGGGACCTTGCTATATTATGAAACTCAAAATAGGCATTAACCCTACCATCACTTCAAACTCAAAAAACGGGGGAGTGGTGGTTTGAAAATAGCCTTTTACCTTCTTGCTTAAAGTACTTTGTGCTAAGTAAGTGTGAGGAAGGGGGTTGTTGGCGGATGCTTTTCTGAGGTTAGGTATAATTTAAAGAGGGAGAAAAGGAAGAGCATTCAATGTTGATGCTAGCCCATTTTGATAGTTGAGAAGTCTGGCAAACAACTAGCACAGTGTCCTCAGGCCCGTCGGAGAGAAAATATGAGTAAGTAGACTGCCATAAGTTGCTGAGCCACTATGTAAATTACTACATAAATCAAGTGGAAAAATGCTCTGGATAGGGGCCTGAGTGGGAAAAATCCTGAAGAAAAGCCATATGGACACCGAAGAATGGGTACGAGGGAAGTGAGTTGAATTGTATTATGTGAGGTGTAATTGTAAGCCTTCGGTTTCATAATATGTGTAGGAGTAACATTGCATTGAAGTACGATCTGAATTAGGGATCCTAAGTTCACTCTTCAGTGGCATATTTGCATTTGAATTTTTATATTTTATGCTATGTGTAATAGTGATGTCCCTAGGGAATGGTTTACATTCACACACAAAGGGCTAAAGGGTAAAAGTACATAATGTATTTGACTTGCTTGTGAATTTTTGTTTTATTGTTACCGTGATTTCTTTTGAGTTATAGAGTTTCTAAGGCACATCTTAAATAAGAGAAAATTTAGAATTCCTGTGTTCCTTAATGCTTGAGGACAAGCATACTTCAAGTGTGCAGGAATTTGATAGAGCCCATAAATTGTGTTTTAATTGTTCTTATTTTACTAGTTTATATACTTGGATGGGTTTAATTCATTAGATTTATGATTATTTCTTGTTAGGAGTTGGAAATAAGAGTTTGGAGCTGTTTTGGATGATTTTGCACGATCAGGGACTTAAATATAAAATTGAAGAAGTTTTAGAGCCAAAGTAAAAATACTATAAACTTGAGGGACCAAAATTGCAAATTGTGGATCTCTTTTTCATTTCCAGCGGCTGACCTAAATTTCGTTTTATAAATATACTTTTGTTTTATTTTTGTGGGAAGCCGTGCATAGGCCAAAGGCTAGCACCTCAAACCTTTTATTTCTTCTAATTTTTCTTGAATTTCCATGGAGAATAAAGCCGTCATGTTTCCGTCTATAAGTGGCTAAAGATTTCTTTCTGATTCAAGGGATTTAATTCAGTTATTTCATATGAGATTTTGTTTTTAATTTATTGTTCTTGCCTATGATTTAAGTATTTGTTGAATCTTGTCTTAATTTATGAAAGTAGATATCATTCAAATTGACAACTTGATTTATTATTTACTTTCTAGTGCTATCTTCTAGTTGAATGTTACGTAATAGACACGAACCGGCAGTACTGAGTAGCAATTAAACATAACATGTGTATTGGTGAGACATTGAATATGCATGTTAGTTTAAATGTGGAATCAATGAGACAAAGTCTGAATAGTTGTAGCTATCTCAATTGTTTAGCTTTTGGTTCAACTATATTTCTTTGGTTTTTATGCTGTCATTGTTTGGCATGGAACGGTATCGTGCCCAGCCGGATTATGATAAGGACTGATTGAGTGCTAGGCTTGGTTAGTTAATTCAGAAAATTATTAGATTTATTACGACTATCCTAATAGATCTTTAGTTGAATATTGCTTGAATAGTTTAGCAACTCGTGATTGATGAAATAATTGAGTTATCATTTGATTTCTTTTCTTTTATTTAATTTTTGTTATTTGAATTTTATTATTGTAGTTTAGAAAAACAATCCAAAAATTCCATTTGCATTAATTTATAGGAAACAATCCATCGTTCCCTGAGTAGACGACCTTACTTCCCTATACTATTATAGCTTGAAGTAGGTTAATTTATTTGTGTGGCTTGACACTCCCATCACACTGTTTGATTCTACCTAGTAATTCACTTGAAAAAGAACATTGAAAAAATAGATGCTTAATGGTTTCCAACTGACCCGTACACAAGCAGCATTCAGCATCTGAAATTGAGATATTTTATATATTGTGCCAGTCTATCCCTGATCCACATTTTGTCTTTCCATAGAAGCCAAGCAATAAATGCGTGATTTGGAACATTTAACCTGAACCAGATTACAGTTGCAGCAGGCATTTTACTTCCTTCTTCTTGTAACCACTTGTATCCCGAGCTTACTGTATAATCACTTCTTCTATCTCGTATTTTTCAAAATCTGTTTCCTAGATCAGCTGCTATCAGGCTTATACTGGATTTTTCATATGCTTTTCTTTTTTAAATAGACTTCATGAACCCACTTTAGCCATAAACTATCTTTGTTACTAGCTATCCATCACATCTGTTTAAGGATGCCTACTGCATTCCATAACTTAGCATCATAAACATTTAGTCCACTCAGATTTACTTCGATAGACTGTTTCCCAACCTACTAGAGCATAATATCTCTCTGATTCCCTTACTCCTTATAAGAATTTTTTACATTTACGATAAACAGCTTCTCTAATACTGTAAAGAAGAATAAACGCATAAAAATGCTAATGTTGCTCCTACTCAATGGTTAAATTAAATACAATAACAAAGTTGAAAGTACGAATTACATTAGCTTGATGCCCACCTATTATAAATATACCAACACAGAGAACTAGGTTTCACTCTACTTCCCAGTTCTCACACTATGCCTATACCCCGCCTCCTTTGCTCACCCACTTCATCTCCTTGACCAAACCCTAGCTAGAACTTTTTCTTCCTCCACTAGATCACTGATACGTCCAGTTTAAAGGTTTTCGGGTAGCAGAATTTGTTGGAAGATTGCGGGTTGGAAGAATAGCAACTATAGTGGATTTTTCTTTTTTTTTTTCCCCAGTTGCAGAAGAGCCATTTTGATTTATGGATGACCATTCCATTCCATCAAGATTAGTGAAAAGCAGAATGTGGATGATCATCATGTCTCGGCTACTCAGGATGAGATCTGAATTTGGTCCCCCAAGTGTCCAAGCTCCCTTGAGTTCCTAGCTAAAATCAATGCAAAGTTGCAAACTGTTGGTTTCTGAGCCTTCTGCAGATAAGAATGTCTTTCCTCAAGTATCCAACAAGCTATCTCCAGAAGGACATGATGAAGATGCCAGTCTTCTTGAGTATTTTGTTTAAGTTGTCAGTAACGCATCGATTGAATTAATCATCGGATCAATAATTTGGAATGATTGATTATGATCGTCATCTGTGTTAGACATTATTAGCCTTGCGAAACTAATGGAGTAATATTGAGCTGTCAACCTCTGTGAGGTTCCGGAATTATAACTCATATTATAGACCCAAAGAAGTGACCCCTGGAAGATCAATTGGAAGAAAATGAAAACAATAATTATCAAACAAAATGTGTAGTAACAAGTGCAGGATGTGGACTATCGATACATATCATTGTTTTTATTCGTTTCAGCTAGCAGCCTCCGCTAACCAGAAAAAATTACAGAACACAAAATGTGACTTTAACGGGTGGCGAAAAAATTTCACAGATATTGATATAACTACATGCCGAGAACCCCAGAAGTCAAGCTACTTTCTTACAAGCGAAAGATGATCCAATTCCACGCAACACAAGGAAGAGAAGAAACTTGATTTACACCATGTATTATTTATCTCTTCATAAGGGAATTTTGATGGCAACCTGTATTTGTGCCCATCTCCTAGTTTAGTGACACAATAGGTAGCGGCAGTAGTATCTTAGTCAAGCTTCACATTGGAATATAGTAGTGTGTCCCTGGTGATTGGCATGTATAGAAGGAAATACACCTGCATGAACATAAATTAGATTCCTGGTTCATAGGACAAACCCAGCAACAGTAAATTTCGACAAGTAGAATGTGTGTTCAAAGGAATGGACTAATCTATATTGCCCTATTATCTTCCAGAATCAGAAAAATGTGAAGGCATATCGAAAGACAGGCAGTCCAAGGGAAACCAACTATCTAGCTAGATAAAGTAATCGATTGTGAACCACGAGCTGCAGTGCATGTAGGTGTGTGCTGAGGGCACAGGAGGCAGTTGGTTTATGTCTACAAGTGCATTTGCATTGACCAATTCAACAGGGATAAAAGAGATTATAATAACCTCATACGGCGAAATAAATCACAGGAAAATGTTGATAAAAGAAAGCAGGTCGAAAGACCCAGCAGCTTAGACAGGAATTTCTAGAAGATGTGCAAAACCTACATTGTTCAGAACAATATGCAGGCACAGGAGCATAATGTTTAAAAAAAGGAAAAAAAAAAAAAGCATTAAAGCTTTACTACAGCACAACTTTCAAAGAAGAAATGTACTAGGAACCATAAATATCTTCAGTGACACCCAACAACATGATTTCAGATGAAGATAACAAGGAGAGTGATATAAATGAAGTTCAATTAAAAGGGTAATCACGGATTGCACACAAGTAACCATAAAAGCAGCAGCTAAAAAATGCAAGTCATATTGTCGAGTAGCAAACAGATATCAAAATCGTAATCTAGTGCACAGAACAAGTAAAGATTTTAGTGGATGATCAGCAATGGTGAAATGAACAGCAACAGAGTGGTGAAACTTACTCCTAATAAAGTTGCAATGATCAGCAAGATCCCAGTTGTCCATGCAATTGTTCTCCTAACAAGTAAAGCTTCAGCAACTGAAGTTGCATTAAGGGAGGCACTTTCTTCTTCCAACCAACGAGGAGATGTCCGAGAATTAACCACCATATTTAGTAGTTTCTTTGATTCTGAATCATCAGCTTCACCATGGACTATCACTCCGACAATCTTACCTGCTTACACAACTAAAGTTAATTATTTCATTGCAGAAGGCTATCAAAGTGCTGACAAGTTAGGAAAATTTTCATCAACCAATGCTGGAGGCTATATAATGTAAACGAAAATCAATCTCTAGATGATGGCAGGTTCTGGCACAAAAAAATCAACTCAACATAACCACCATCCCCTCACCAAAATCAACAATAGGAGAAAAGTGACACTGCCTTACTATGTATATCCCACCACTGAGATGACAAAATAGGCAATACTTAATCTACAGGTTCTGCATCTTATTAGATAATCTCAAGGAAGACATACTAACCAATAAAGGCCATATCATAAAAACAGAAAGGAGAAACTGTAGGTGCTCGAGTAAGGAAGTAGTCTAACCCCTGTATCGGGCTTGCAAGTAATCAAATATCTTCGGAACTGAAACAGCAAACAAATGGACTCCTTCCTCTGCACCCTCAGTTCCATGGTTCTCTCGCAAAGCCTGAGATTAGATAGTTGATGAACATAAGCGTTTCAAAAAAAAATTAAAAAATTAAAAAAGGAAAACACTCAAATACTACTTCGAAAACCTTTCCCTTCTAAACCTGATCAAAATTCTACATAAGGGGGAAAAAAAAATAAATAAAGTAGAAGGGATAACTACCACTATCAAGAGTCTTAGAAGACACCGCCGAAGAGAAATAAGTACAAAAAAATAAGGGAACACAACCCTGTGCCAAACTGTCAATTAATAAAGCAAAATAAGGTGAACAAACATACGATCCACTAGGGTGGATTTTTTTAAAAAAATAATAATAATAAGTCCAAAAACTTTTCAATCTAATTCTTTACAAGGAGACTTTATAAGCACCAATACTGCTTTATGATTTCTAAATATGAAAAAAGGGCAATTGAGCACCCTCTATTTCTCATCTAAAACAAAGGGAAAAGGTAGAGTGAATAAAAGAGAAAGAAATTTTAACAATTAACATTCACCGGGTTCAAAACAGAGTGTCCTTTTTTTTTCCTCAGGGAAAGGGTACCTGTATTAGATTAGGAAGAAACTCCTAATCACTAGTGAACAAAACAAATTGAGAAAACAAAGAGCCATCTAAACACTAGTGAACAGATCGAAAAACATATTGATCAATTATTACTACTTAAGAACTGGAGATAGCTACTCCAGTTACCTCAACCGAAACACCAGTATAAGAGACGGAGATAAAATAGACTTATCACCTTGATGCCATCAAATGTCCCTGTAATTAACTCAGAGAGCTTCTGCCCATTAGCATTAGGAGACAAATCTTCAAGCATCACCATGGCCCTCTCAATCTTACGGAGGAGACCTACAATACCATTGAGCAACTCCAATTCCGCTTTCTGTATGTATTCGACATAAAAAGGCCCTGTTATAATTGGATGAAGAGTAGAAAACCCCCTAAAATGAGATTGATAGGGAAAAAGAAATTCTCGAAAATAACAAGCACCTTCGATAAATCAAGTCTGAGATTGTCGCCACCAGGCAAGGGGATTGACAGCTCTCCACTGAGCGGTGAGTGCCCAGATACGTATGAACCCCCCAAGAAAGATGCCTGCAGCAATAGTCTATGATTAGCTGAACTAACATAGATCCAGCATGAATAGGAAAGGAGTAAAGATTAGAAAAATTACAAGTTCATGAAGTTCTTTATTTGAGGACAGCTTATCAGAATCAAAACTAGGGAGGTCATTCAAAGAGATCACAGATACTTCATCTTCATCTGCATACATACACACAATACTTTCATCACAAGATGAATTAAACAAGAACAGAACCATCAAATAAACTAAAAAGAGCAGCTAGCTACCTGGAACCTGAATGTCAGCTTTGCTCTCTTCACTCATAACCTTGCTCTTCAAAGCCCCACCAAAAACAGTGTCTCTCAGAAGCTGGGAATCTGTATGTAGAAGATCACTCAACCAACGCTACCACAATTACAGAATGTTGATAACTTCTATGGCTGCTACATTTTCTATGAACTTACCCTCTACTCCTGTGACTTCAAGGGCAAAGACAGCAAGGGGCCTATCAAATGGATTGGGTATGAGCACTTTATTGAGCTGCAAAGAACAGTTTCCCGCATGTAATCATAAGTGATCTAATTGAACAAGTACATGAAAATTCCCTGCTTTTTTAACCCCAATAAACCATTTAATATGAGATGGTGTTTCTACCTTAGAGGAACTAGAAGCTGACAGTGTAGAAGGAGGGGCAAAACCAAGTAAAACAGACACTGCAGCACCAACTTCTGATAGTGACATTGAATCAGTCTGCAGCATTAATAACACAGACAAATTCAAATATTTGGAGCAAATATCCACAAACTAACTCAGCACTGACAAAAAAAAAATGTAGTAAATAGCTCACTCGCCAACCTAAATAAAAAAAGATTTGCATTCTCTTAAGTTCTCTCATAGATAACCCTGCATAAATCTAAATTTCCAATATCTGCAGTTCAACAAGATATCCTAACTGTTGAACCTCCAAGTTCACAAATGCTCAATCTTTATCCACACTTCCCGACCAATACAGGATTATCCTTTAGACCAACTAGATTGTAAATATTGAATATTTGGAATACAAACTATTAAAATTAAATCCCACTATATGAATTCAGCTACATGATCATAACTTCTATAGGTCATTATTGACGTCATCCCTTTTGATCATCAGTATAGAAAAGGAACTGAACTTCAGATACATCAATCTTACATCAACAGGACAATCAACTAAATCCCGGAAAATTTGAGCTCGAAATCAAAATAATTTCAAAAGTTCTGCAACGAACTACCGGCAAGATGCAAAATCACTACGTTACAAATTACAATAACAATTATTAACAAGAACCTGAGCTATGGCAGCAGGCTCCGACGGTGAGCGAAGGTATTTATGAGTCGGACTATCAAGGAAGACTACTGATGCAGCTTCCACATTGATCTGCAAATCACGATTCGAAGAAAGAGATCAGAAAAATTTGGAGGTTTTTATAGAGACCTTACAATTAATTACCCAAAGATTGAGAGGAGGAAAGTGCGCACCAGTGCTTGCAGAGAGAATAGACAAAGGGTTAGTGTAATCGCGAGAAAAGGGTTCCGACGATCCATGGTGACTTCCGCCGGAGGAAGGTGGTGGGTGGTGGTGGTGGTGGTGGGCGATTTGGGGTTGGATTTGTTCCGATGTGGAATTGGGGAAGAAGGACAAAGGAAGAAGATGGAAGACTTGAAGGTGGAAAATTTTACTATTATCTAATCGATCTTTTTACTGCACAAAACTACACATTGAGAGAGAGGGAGTTTTTTTTTTTTTAACCTGTTTTTATGTTTTTGTTTTTTTTAAGGTGTAACTAAAAAACAGTTGAATTCAGAATTAACTGATTGGCTTTCTTCAGATTGTTTTGTGAATGGTCTGTTTGTATCTGATTTTTAATTTTTTATTGGATTGCATTAAGATGTTAAAATATAAATTGAATATCCAATAGCCGGTTTCATATTTTCACACTTCTTCTCAAAAAAAATAAATGAATAAAAATATTTAATTATTTCACCCAACCTCCAACACTAAATTTCACCATTTTAGAAAGTATGAAAATAAAATAAGATATAAAAAAAAAGGTGGTCTTAAACGTGGGAACTTTTCGTGGCATGTATCTTAAAAAAAGTCAAATTGGTAAACATCATGGCTTGTATTTATTTTTCAGAACTAAGGGAAAAAAAAAAGAGTTATTGAGAAATAGACAACCTATTTTTTATTTTTTTTTCTTGAGACAATGTTTTAGTTAAAAAAAGATATCTTACAACTTATTGTAATAACCCAAAAAAATAATGTTTCAGATTAATAAAATAACAAATAGTATTTAATTTTGAAAGAACTGACTGATAAAAAAGAATAAATAAATATACAAATAAAGGCCCCGATTTGCTGTATACGGGAAAGAGTTTGGAATGTCATCACCTCACAATTCCAACCAGGAAAGAGTTTCCTAATTCTCACATGTGAGTCTTTTTAGAAATTTTTTCGAAAAAAATTCCGTTACTTCCTCAATGGTGAATCATATTCATAATATGGAACTTATGTTACAGCCATGAGCCATCTGTCTATAAATATGCATTTTTACAAAATCGTATGTAATTCACAAATTTGTTAATTTCAGGATTTTGCCTAATCGAGAAAAAAAAAAGTGTTTTTCGGGTTTTTACTTTTGATTGATCGTGGCTAGAGGTTTTCTCTAAGATCGATGGAGGAAGAGCAAATCATTGATTTTGATGGAGCAGTTGAAGAGGTTAGCAAACTTGTTATAAAAAAATCTGAACAATTCGAAGTGATATCAGTTTTAGGAATGATTGGGAATGAAAAAACAACGTTAGCAAAGAAGGTGTTAAAGCATCCATATATGGATTATGAGTTCATGAAAACGGCATTTGTCCATATCTCACCAAAATATAACACCAAGAATGTGTTCCTCAAAATTTTGGGTTTGTCCGAAAAAATCAATGATGATGCAAGAAATGTGTCAGAAGAACAGTTGGGGAAACATCTTTATCAACATTTAAAAATATAAATAGTAAATAAGTGTATTTATTACTACGATTAGGGTTTAGTCTAGCGTAAATATATGTATAAATATACCCTGTGCACATCAATACAAAGTGTGATTTTACCAATTCTTTATGGTATCACGAGCCTAGGTTTTCAATTTTTTTCAAACCCCTAAATTTTTTTCCAGCCGTCATCTCCATCCTTTTTCTAGCCGCCATTGTTTCTCCTTTCGCCATGGGTGAACGAGTTGCTACTGCTTCCGTTGCTGTTGATCCTCAATCCCTTTACTATGTACACCCGTCTGATCATTCGGGTTTGAATTTTGTCACCCAACTTTTGGCCGAAAACGACGATAATTATTTTGTTTGGCGGAGCACCATTCTCAACGCCCTCCAATCCAAAAACAAAGCTGGATTCGTTGACGGGACGATCAAACCGCCGGCTGCAACTTCTAAGGATTTGCAACCCTGGATCCAATGCAATGCATTGATCAAGTCGTGGCTCCTCAACGCCGTTTGCAAGGAATTGCAGACTGAAGTTACGCACGTTCCTACGGCTCACGCCATCTGGGAGGATCTTGCTGAACCCTTCACGCAAGGGTTGGCTCCCCGGATTTACGAATTGAAGCGTTCGATTGCCCTTCTACAGCAAGAACGATCCCTCACCTCCACATACTATGGCCGACTCAAGGCGACCTAGAATGAACTTCAGAATTTGCGTCCTTCTTCGGCTTGTGCATGTGGTGGCTGCGTAAGCGACATCAACAAGCAGCTTTAGACGATGACTAAAGAAGAAAAAGTCTTCGACTTCTTGATGGGGCTTGATGATACTTATAAGACTGTTCAGTCGCAAATTCTGAGCGTTGATCCACTGCCCACTCTCGGTCGCGCCTACGCGATTGTTGCGAGTGATGAGAAGCAGCACCGCCTCGCCGATTTGCGCCTTCCTGTGGTCAAAGCTGCAACACTGGCCGCCAAATCTTCTGCTCCCCGGCATGATGGTCGTGATTCTGGTCATCCTCAGCCCCCTTGCAGTCATTGTGGGCGTGCTAATCACTCCCGGGATCGCTGCTACGAACTCGTCGGGTACCCTGCCAGCTGGCGCCAACCTCGACAGAAGCACGATTAGCAGAAAAGTGCGTGAAACAGTTCTGCCTCCACCCTGGCGGCTGCGGCTGATTCTCAACCGCCTGCTTTTGCTCCTATGGAGTCCTTCTCGGCTGCTCAGGTCCAGCAACTCTTCCAGATGCTTGGGCAGCAAGTGTCTTCTGATGTCGCCGCCAAGCCTCAGACCGTGAACAACCTTTCTTCGTCGGGTAAGGTTGATTGGGCGTGTGATTTGGGTGCTACTGATCACGCTTCTAATCAATTACAATTGATGCAAGATATTTCATTACCCTGTGGTTCTATTTCGGTTCAAATTCCTAATGGTGAACAGGTTCCCATTCAAGCGGTTGGTCGGATAAAACTTGATGATAGTTTGATTCTTGATAATATTTTGGGGGTGCCTAATTTTCGGTTCAATTTGATCTCTGTTAGTCGATTGACCCGTAATTTGAATTGCTTCTTCACTTTTGACCCTGACTTATTTTTATCTAGGATTTAACCTCGAGGAAGCTGATTGGAATGCGTAGAGTGCGCGATGGATTATACTATCTAGAGCCAACGCAGTTAGGTGGTGAACGTCGAATTCTTTCAACTTGCAAAGGCGATACCTCAACCTTGTGGCGTTGTCGTTTGGGTCATCTTCCGGTTACGCGTCTTTCCTTGATTCCTAGCATTTCTGTTTCTTTTCATCATAAATTTGGCACATCTATTTGTGATGCCTGTTGTCGAGCTAAGCAGACTCGTTTACCATTTCCTTTACATCAAACTCATAGTATGAATAATTTTTATTTAGTGCATTGTGATATTTGGGGACCTTATCCCACTCCATCTAAGTCGGGTGCACATTATTTTTTTACTATTGTTGATGATCGTAGTAGAACTACTTGGGTTTTTCTTATGCATTCCAAATGAAACTAAGCGTTATTTGCTTTTATTTTTCAATTGGGTGCATACACATTTCAATGCTAAAATTAAGACTTTTCGAACTGATAATGGTCTTGAATTCAACCATTCTTCTTTGTTAACCCACTTTCTAGATCATGGCATTGAAAAACAAACCAGTTGTCCTCACACTCCTCAACAAAATGGTGTCGTTGAACACAAGCATCGACATCTCTTAGAAGTAGCTAGGGCTTTGCGCTTCCAAGCAAATCTATCTGTTGAATTTTAGGGGGGATGTATTCTTACTGTTGCTTACTTGATCAATTGAATGCCTTTTTCTGCTTTGCAAAATAAAACTCCTTATGAGCTCTTATATGGTCATCCACCTTCCTATGATCACTTGCGCAGTTTTGGGTGTTTATGCTATGCTCATGTTTCTGCCAAACCTAGGGATAAATTTGCATCTAGAGGCCGTCGGTATCTTTGTTGGTTATCCACATGGTCAAAAGGGGTATAGGGTTTATAATTTTGATCGTAAGGAGATATATACTTCTCGCGATGTTATTTTCTTTGAAAACATTTTTCCATCTACTGCGGGTCCCTCTCAACCTGTTTCGGACCCATCTTCAGTCATGGTTGATCTTACTCACTCTGCAGCTGATCCTTTTCCACCTGTGGTTCCAAATTTATCTCTACCATCTCCATCCTCTGATGCTTTACCCGATCCTCCACCATCCTTATCCCCTCTGCCAGTTACCTCTTCATCAGATCTCCCTTCTAAACGTCCTCGACAAGTCTCCCAATGACTTTTTGGGTATCAATATACTCTGCGACCCTCTCTACAGTCCACTCGTAATCGATCGTCGACATCTGTTCCACCATTAGTCAACTCGACGGTACACCCTCTCTCTAAGACTTTGTGCTATTCTCGCTTTTCTAAAGCTCACATTGCCTTATTAGCAGCCATCTCCTCTGTGGATGAGCCCACCAGTTTTTCAAAGGCAGTTAAATATGCACATTGGAAAGATGCTATTGCTAAAGAGATCTTTGCTCTTGAGGCTAATAATACTTGGCAGATTGTTCCTTTGCCCCCTGGAAAGCGAGCTATAGATTCAAAATGGGTGTACAAGGTTGAATTCCTTCCTGATGGTCGTGTTGAGTGCTACAAAGCGCATCTGGTCGCCAAGGGCTTCACACAGATTGAGAGGGTTGATTTTCATGAGACTTTTGCTCCTGTTGCTAAATTGGTGACTGTTCGTTGCTTACTTGCTGTTGCTTCCGTTCACAATTGGGAGCTTCATTAGCTTGATGTCACTAATACCTTCCTTCGTGGTGATCTTCATGAGGAAGTATACATGAAAATTCCTCAAGGCTTTGCCACAAAGGGGGAGCAACGTGTTTGTCGCCTTCAGAAGTCTCTCTATGGTTTGCTTCAAGCCTCTCGGAATTGGTACTAGAAATTTACTCAGTCACTTGTCTCTGCTGGATTCAAGGAGTCCTCCTCTGATTCATCTCTGTTTATCTACAGTAGTGGCACTTCTTTTACTGCAGTTTTGATCTATGTTGATGACATCATTGTGGTTGGGAATGATTCTCTTAAGATTGGTCGACTCAAGAAATATCTCCATGGTCATTTTCATATTCAGGATCTTGGCCCCCTTAAGTATTTCTTGGGTATTGAGGTAGCTCGTTCTTCTACTGGGATTGCACTCAGTCAAAGGAAATATACCCTTGACATTTTATCTGAATGTGGGCTTACTAGTTTTCATCCAAGTTCCACTCCAATGGAACAACAGCATGGATTGGATCTTGATTCTGGAGAGTTATATGATGATCCTGGTCCATATCGACGCATTGTTGGTCGTCTTCTGTATTTGACCATTACTCGCCCAGACATTGTTTACGTTGTTCATGTCCTTAGCCAATTTATGCATAAGCCACGTTAGCCACATTTTGATGTTGTTATGCATGTCATGCGCTATTTAAAAATGGCGCCAAGGCAGGGAATATTTCTACCTTCTGATAGCTCTTTACATCTGTGTGCATATTGTGATGCCGATTGGGCTAGGTATCCCACTACTCGGCGATCCACTACAGGCTATATTATCTTCTTGGGTGCTTCTCCACTCTCTTGGCGATCAAAGAAGCAAACTGTAATTTCACGTTCTTCTGTGGAGGCAGAATACAGAGCTATGGCAATAGCCACAAGTGAACTTGTTTGGTTGGTACGACTTTTGACCGAGTTAAGAGTGCCTTCAGTTCATCCAGTCCCTTTGTTCTGTGATAATCATGCAGCACTTCATATTGCTGCTAATCCAGTTTTCCATGAGCGTACCAAACATATTGAGATAGATTGTCATTTTATCCAGCAACATCTTCAGTCGAAATTACTTGTATCTCGGCCAATCTCCTCAGCCTTGCAGCTAGCAGATTTATTCACCAAAGCTTTGGGTCGAGATAGGTTTCATGTCTTGATTAGCAAGTTGGGCATTAAGAATTTACATGCTTCAACTTAAGGGAGGAGTAAAAATGTAATTAGTAAATGAGTATATTTACTATTACGATTAGGGTTTAGTCTAGGGTAAACTATGTGTATAAATATACCCTGTGTACATCAATACAAAGTGTGATTTTACCAATTCTTTACATTTAGATAGATACAGTTATTTGGTTATCTTGGATGATGTTCCCAAAGAAGAAGATTGGAACATATTCAAGCAAGCTTTTCCCAAGAACAACAAGGATTGCAAAGTTTTAGTTACTACTTGCAACGAAGAACTGGCGAAAATTTTGAACCCGAAAATCCCTTTCTTTAGGTTAGACTTCTTGTCATTGGATAATAGTTTGGAGTTATTCCGGAGGAAGGTTTTTGGTGATGGAAACTGTCCTGAAGAGTTCCGGGTACACGAGTCGCGAATTGTTGAAAGCTATGGTGGATTAGCACTAGCAATAGTAGTCATGGCAGGTGTTATGTTACAGCATCGAAACAATGGCAAATTTTGGAAGTCTATGGCTGATAGTATCATCAAGGGCTATAATGCCAGAGATCATAAACAACTGATCAAGATGTTAGAGCTTATGTACATTCACTTGCCAGACCACTTAAGGCCATGTTTTACCTATTTCGGGATTTTTCCCAATGACTTTGATATCCCGGTGTGGAAATTAGTACGACTATGGATTGCTGAAGGACTTATCATACATAAGGAAGGAGATCTAAAAATAAACTCAGAAGACATTGCAGAATAGTATCTAGAAGAGCTTGTTTGCAGAAACTTAGTGATGGTCGGAAAAAGAAGATCATTGGAAAGATCAAAACATGTCGAATTCAAGACACATTGCTCGAGTTCTGCAGGACTAAAGGTATGCAAGAAAATCTTTTCCAGGAAATCACCAAGGATGCTCTGGATCATCAATGTTCTCACCTTTACATCGACAACGATGCCAATGTTCATGATTATATTTCGAAGGGACCTCCAAACAACATGCTTGTTGAATCTTTCTTAATTTTTCAGAAGGAAGCAAATTTTTGGTGGAGCCAAAGTTCGTCAGTTGCATCCCAAAAGCCTTCAAACTTCTCAAGTTGTTAGAGATCGAATCACTAACAAGGTCTACTCTTATTCTTCTTCCTGCTGCTTTGTCTACTATGACAAACTTGCAAACTCTTATAGTAACCAACGAATCTTGTACAAGTACAGTACAAATGAAAGCTGACATTTGGAAGATGCCTAAGTTTAGACATTTGCATACCAAGGTCTCCGCTGTTTTGCGATTCCCAGAGACCGAAAACAGCAAAACCGTGCAAAACATTCAAACACTCTCCACCATCTCTCCCGAAAGTTGCACGAAAGAAATCTTTGATCGCACACCAAAACTCAGGAAATTAGGCATATCCGGACCATTAAACAAGCTTTTCGAGGCCAATGGCGAATCCAGTGTTCTTGGAAGTCTCATTGGCAGATTGGAATTCCTGGAAAACCTGAAGTTGGAAAATGACACGAATTTTGTTCCAGCTGGTAATCTTCCTTCAGAGAAAGGTTTCCCAAAAAATTTATTGCGGAACTGGGAAGAGATGTCTACATTGGGGAAACTAGAAAATCTCCAAGTTCTGAAGTTAAAAGAATATGCCTTCAAAGGGAAGTTTTGGAAGACTGAGAATGGAGGCTTTTTATGTCTGAAGTACCTGCGAATTGAACGCAAAGATTTGGCTGTTTGGGAGGCTTCATCTGATCATTTTCCGAAACTCAAGTTTCTTCATATCAGAGATTGCCCAGAACTAAAGGCTTTGCTGCAGGACTTTGCTAACTGCAACAATTCTTCTTTGGCTTCTTCTGCTGCAAATTTGCAGATGCTGAAACTGCAAGCACAATCACGGATGACTCGCGTGGACGAAAATCGCTTAAAACTTTTTGTTTATCCTCCAGATGATCGAAGCTGTGGAGTTTAATTGAGCTTTTCATTTTGCTTTCTTTTTTAAAAAAGAAAAAAATTGTTATGTATTTTGTTAGTTAGATATAAAGTGCAACAATTTGTTATCACTAATATCTTGAATTGATGTAAGCCTATAATAATATTATTATTTCACTATTTGTAAAAATTACTCTTTCCGTCCCAAAAAAAATAGTTCACATTGAGTTTTGAGTTTTGCACTATTTTTAGTACAAATCTAAAAACTCAATGTGAACTATTTTTTTTTGGACGGAGGCATCAAATTCTATGGATGTGTGAGTTTTGAATCAAATAAAATCGTAACATTCAGGAAAAGATTAGTACATGATTCTTAGCAAAAGATATATACACTTTCGTAAAAGAATATACAGTTTTAAATAAAAGAATAGTTTAATCTATGTCTTTGTTCCATATCACAAGCTTCAAATGGAGAAAATGACACTCTTAGATTCATCTATCTTGAGAGTGAAGGACGATATCATTTAATAGTTTTTTAGTGACCGAAAAGTAATTTTGTGTTCTTACCTTCCCATGTTAATTATTTGATGTTATTATTAAAAGTAATCTAATAAAATAGACTATAAATATAGTATACAAGAAGAGTATAAAGCATATGTGAGGCACAATCTTATAATTAATCAAATTTTAGACATATCTTAATTAGTTTTTAGTGACATGAAAGTAATTTTGTATTATACACGAGGAAATGATAAAATGAAAAGTTCAAATAGATTTTTCTTTTTCCCATAAATTGGAAAGTCATTTTGTATCATACACGAGGAAATGATAAAATGAAAAGTTTAAATAAATTTCTTTTTTGCATAAATTGGAAATTAATGACATTAATTGGTTTAGGTTTTTGTAGAATTTATTTTATTAATTTTCAGAAATTGAGTATGTTGAACTTTGCGTAGTTACTTTGCTTTTTAATCTTGTACTATATATATTGCAAAATTAATCTGTTAGCTCACATTTTAACACTTCGCTCTAATCAATCCTTTGTGTAGGACATGTTGGAGTATATGTTTCTTCCTTGCTTTCAACAAATATTATAACACTTTTCCAGGTCAAATTTGCCTTCCAAACATTCTTTTTTCCCAGAAATGGTGATCAACAGAAAGAGAGGTAAAAAGAAAATTTCAAAGGAAAAAACAAGTATTATTGCATCATTTGAACAGAAGATTTGATTAAACGAATTATTATTATTCAATTCATTTCTTTTTATTAAAATAAATCATTAATGATTTTTGAATCTTTTATTGAACCCCCTTAATAATATATTGCTTCCCTTGAATTTGGCCAAATAGTCTGTCCCACTTAATGAATTCCCATAATCAACAAGCTCAAAAATCTTCACATTATTTTCTTTCCATCATAGCCATGCATGAAACGTAACATTTTTTTTTCAAAATTTTTCAAAATGGAATATTAATTTCTCTTGCTTTTGAACGATTCAGAAATTCAAACCCGATTTTATTTAAACTAAGAGGAAGAAATATCAAAGAGATTTTCTTACCATTTTATTATTGTATAAATATAAATATCCGTGTATAGAATATTATTGACCTAGCTTTTATTCTTATATGCACCAAAGCAAAGTTTGAATTATACCTTTTTAGAATTTTTTTTCCTCCATCTTTTTTCATTCAAAGGCTCGCTCAAATCTCTTCAATTCTCCATTGAAATTTTTCAATTTTTTTTCCTTCTTGTTGGGTTTAAACTCTATAGAGAAAATGTCTTATTCCCAAATTGGGTTTTCTTCAGCTTTGGTAGTTGTTCTTCTACTTCTTGTGTGTTTTTCACAAGAAGCAAAATGTGTATTAAACAAGAAGAAGTTATTGGCATCATTTCCAACATTATATGTTCATCCATTGGGATTATTGGGAAGGGCAAATTTCTCATCAATTCAGGCTGCCATTGATCATGTTCCATCAAACAACAGATACTGGATTCGTATTTATGTCCATGCTGGTATATACAGGTATGTAAACTTAGTTCCATTCGTACATTTTGTTTGTTAGTATACAACTCAGAAAATAAAATCATTCAGACTAATTCTCACTCGATTTGGGCCGAAGAAAAATGTATAGTTTCTATAGTTCTTTCTTTGAAATGAAGAAACATATATAGAACACCAATTTATATATAAGATGGTGTGTGGCTAGAGTTGTTCTTATTTTGAGGTTTTGGAGATGTTAAAAAATTTACATTGTAAACATTAAAATTCATATTCGAAAAATACAAAATGTGCTGTAAAAATAGTCTAATGCATAAGTATTATGTTCCCTAGTCCAATAAAACCTCACTTTTCATCTCCAAGGCAAGAACTAATTCTTTAATTTTCATAAATTAAGGATTTTTTTTTTATTTTTTTTTTTAATTTTGTTTGTTGTTAATGAATTGGATGCAGAGAAAAGATTGTGATTCCGGCAGACAAACCTTACATTTATATCCAAGGTGAAGGAAAATGGAAAACTAGGGTTATTTGGGGTGACTATGGCTCAATTATGAATACTGCTACTTTGACCTCCTTAGCTGACAACACTGTTATCAAAAGCATGACTTTCACTGTGAGTTGCATACCCACTCCTTTTCTGCGTCTCAAAATAATACAACAAATTGGATGATAATTTTGAAATGGAGTGATTATTTTCTTACTAGAATATATTTCGCAAAATATAAAGCGGATGCAGATTCTTCTAACAGTAATATTATATCTAAGCAAACACAAGAAAACAAGGAATACTCACTATAAGATGTTAATTTTTTGTCCTAAACAGAATTCTTACAACTATCCACCGGAACGGAACTTGAATCCAATTGTACCAGCATTGGCTGGGATGATCATGGGAGACAAAACTGCATTCTATAGGTGTGCATTTCTGGGAATGCAAGATACCTTATGGGATGAACAAGGCAGACATTATTTCAAGCTTTGTACCATCCAAGGTGCTGTTGATTTCATCTTCGGTTCCGGTCAATCCATTTACGAGGTATACATCAAAACAGAACTATTAGTACCGTGTAAAAAAATATATATCCTGAGTGATTTGATCTTATTTTGCAGAGATGCTCAATCATGGTAGCAGCTTGGCCTTTGCATGGAGTGCCTGGATATATCGCGGCGCAAGGGAGAGACCATCCAAATGAGACTAATGGATTTATATTCAAAGATTGCAACATATTTGGTACTGGAAAGACCTATCTAGGAAGACCGTGGAGACCATATTCCAGGGTCATTTTCTACAATACCTCAATGGCAGACATTGTTGTTCCAGAAGGATGGAATGCCTGGAATTCCAAAGGCAAAGAGTAAGATATCTCTCCCTGTCGAACCTTATAACATAAATCGAGAACTAATCCTTCCATACAATTATTATGCCATTTTTTCAAAGAATGCAATGGTATTTTTATTATCTTGTACATTGATTTGCAGGCACCAGTTAACATTCGCTGAGCATGAATGCCGAGGACCTGGAGCTAACAAGGCAGGGCGTGTAAAATGGGAGAACAATTTCAGTGTTGGGATGGTGCAGAAATGGACAGACATGACATATATTGATTCTGATGGCTGGATCAGTAACCAGCTTTTCAATATGTTGGATTGAAAAAGCAGAGTTTCACCAGCAGCAGTACTAACATTCGCTATTTTCGCCTCTCTTTTTTTCCTCTGCAATCTATGGTTCTCTTATGATTTACATTTGTACTTGTACATCAATCTTTGATGTCTTGTTTTCGGTGTTTAATTCCCTGTGAAGGGTTTAAACTAAGATGCTTGTACCATTGCACAATCATGACATCTATTTATTCTATATAATACAATGCTCGAGAGGGACGTCAAATATGTGTATCACTGTCTTCTCAATTGTACTGTGATTCCTACTGTTTGCTGTGATGAGAATTAAACTGTTTGGTTATAAGTTCCAACTGTTTGGTCCACTATTCAAATCAGAATCTTAAACTCTTAATCTACAATGTTGTCGAAATAATGAACATTACATACGATGCCTTCTCAAAGATCCACCAGATGACAAATGGTCAACTTGTCACCAAAATTGAGCTAACAAAACAGTTCATACAGATTCAAATTGTCAGATCAAAACTTGTGTTTGCAGATGAGTTTTTATTCTCAGCGACTCAAATAAGAATGCAGAGTAGCTTCTATTGCAATGTCAACATGTCTACTTGGTATTATGAGTTGGAACACTTATATATATCTTGGTGTTCTTGAAATCATCCAATAGAGGATTGTATCCATCTCTTGTTCTTGTCTTTGTAGGAAGACCGAATTCTTCCATGAACGCAGAGGTATCAAGCTACACCAAAAGGGACCAAAAGTAAGCATCAAACAAAGTAAGAGAAACTTTTAGCACAAGATGTATTACATGTAAAAGTCTCGAGCAACAGAGGAAAATGCATTACTAGTTTGAGTATGTCAATTCTCAATGATCATAAACATTCTTTTTTCTTCCCTGCCCAAGGATACAAATGAGACCCTCTATAAAGCTATCCATTTGATGCAAAACCATCGCCATTTATTCGATAACACATGGCTTTCTTTCCCAAATTCCACCTTGAAAACTTAATATTTGGAATCAAGAAAGATTGGATCCACTTCAAAAAAAAATTTGGCTCAATCAATTGGTGCACCCTACCTGACCAGTTTTATACTAAGAATCCAAAAGTCACCAGCCAACTCAAAGCTGATTTCATGTCGACAAATAGAGAAAACCAGAGTAAAATTTTGCCAAGTTCTACGAATCACTGAGGTACATCAGCAAACGTAATCCAGTATGGCTATGAAATGCACATGTCGACAATAAAAATCTCAGAAGCAGAAAGTAATATTTACCATAAGTGTCCGTCTTTTCTTCCCTTTCTTTGATGATTTATCCTCGTGGGGTTTAAGCCATCCGGAGCAATAATGGTCCATGCGTTCCAAAAGCCAAAAATCAGTTGGGAAAAATATATCAGCGTCTCCCTGCAGATATATACTAGTCAATAAACTTGCTTAAACTGGACATACTAATAAAGATCATTGCCACGGCCTCAAATCTCTTTTGGAAAAAGCCGTTTTCATTCTTCGATAATCCTCAATAACAAACACGAGCAGAAACAGATTTCGCAACATCAACTTCATAAAAGTAAGCAAAATATGGATAAAAGCACTAAGAGAAGAGGTAGCGTGAAAGGTTATATTACCTTTGTGTCCAGATAGTTTTCATAGTCATAGCTTTTACCGTCTCTCTGAAAGAAAAAACAAAACAATAAACAAATAAACACAAAAACACAGTCAAATGAAGCAATAGTGGTGCAAGTGATATAATCCATTATGCATACTTTTTTTTCCAGAAGAACAATTTCAATTTGTGTATTTCATTGAAAGCATGAAATGCTTGGGAGACCAGTGAATGGCAGGGGGGAATTAAGAGTAAACGAAAAAAAGTTTATACAGGACAGAGTCCAGTTCTGGTACCGCTAGCACTCAAATCTGAAAGAAATTTGAGCTTGGAAGTCTAACCAAAAGCGATTCATATTCCCTATAACAGCATGGCACCTCTCCTAAAAATAATATAATGTCCACTGATTCTTATTTGGAAGCCTTGTAGTTACATTAAAAGCATTATAAAAATAACAGTGAAAAATTAAAAAGATAAATAAAATAAACAATCAAGACTTGGTTGCTTCTGTACCTTCATTGAAACCAATGGAGCTCTTTCACCAGGAACTTTTACATCAGGCAAATAACTGAAATCAGAAGCAATTAAGGACATCTTTGGCAGAGCTCCATGCAAAACCTCTAGAATTTTCTGAAATTTGAGATTAGCATATGCATGAGCACAACAAGCTGAGAAAAATGAGAGGAAAGATATTTATCCCATTAGGCCAGAATCATTACCAAGCACCCTGTTGGTAGCCAACATCTCCGGGATCTGGGGAACAATTTAGCCCACATTCTTTTAGCTATTGAACCACCACTTGCATTCTCTAAATCCAAGATCTCAATGCAACTAGTAATCAATGGATCTTGCAAAGGCTTATATAATTCTGAGAGTTCTGACCTGTTAAAATGCAAAAACATTCAATAGGTTGAACAAAGAATTGTGAAGGCACAATGTACATCGACAAGAATCTGTCAAGTATTGAGTCAGTTGTGATACTTCCAAATAGTCTCACAAGAAGGAAACAAATGTAAATCCAATCAAGTATCGCAAAAAGCACAATTGTTGTTTAATTAAATGTTAGAAACATATGTGAAATTTAAAACTTAGATTATCAAATAGCTTCATTATTGGCAGTATCCAACAGGCCAACATTAAGCATATCAACAAGGAAAGCCATTTGGTGGCTCAAAAACTCACAGTTGCCAACAAAAATTTGTAATGTTTATGCATATGTGACATGTTGTGAAAATCACAATAACATTCACCTTTCTCTGTGCTTTTCCACCCACACCTCCATCCATGGAGAAAATTGGTTGGAGGAGTAGATAAGATCATGCGGTAGATTATCAAGCACCTGGAAATCATTAGCGATCCGTAAGAATATCACCTCTTCAAAACAAAAACCACTAAGAACAATCATCACTGCTAATGCAGATTCTTAAAATATTAACATAGGCATCAATTTCTTTTCTTGTCTTCATTATCCTATCATGATAGAAAATAAAAGGAAAGTAAGGAGAAGAGAGCAGAGGCACGGTGGGCAGGAAGGAGCACTATATACTACTTTAGGGATTCATCATCTTGCAAGGGAAAACATTCACTGAAAGGCATTTTCTGTATGACTAAAACAAATGTAAGTCTGCAAGGTAGCTTCATACATCAAGATCAGCATGGTAAAGAATCTAGAGCAGTAAGGCAGAGTATGTAATAAGAGACCTCTAGCATTATAACCCAACATGGCTGCTGTTCTGCTTCCCCTGGTTAACCCAAAGAAAGAAAAAGAAGTCAACAAATGAGCATATTTTCCTTGCCTAGAGAAATACTATGACTAGCCAGCTTTATGATAGCTGATTGAATTAACATTGAGCAATGACAGTAATTGTAAGTAACGATATGTAGACTTAAGAATATCCCACCCCATCCACTACGGTCAGCAGCATCACGGTGCTCTACTCTAAATCTCGATAAGTGACTTTCAACTTCTCCAACCGTTGCTGTCTGCTTCTCAGCAAGTGAAGGACTAATCTCTACTGAACTGAACACAAAGAGATAAAACTAAGAAACATTTTGTGTGAAAAAAAAAAAAAAAAGAACAAGCAATCTACTTAGAAAAAATACGCCTAAACCATTGAGCTGACTATCAAGTTCATGAAACTCAAAAGAAAAGAAAAAAACAACATTCAAAATAAGTTAATTAAAAAGTCAAACTCAATATTCCAATTGACATTCTAGTTTCCACCTAATAATTTGATCAGAAACAGATCCTAATCAAATACACAAAAAGTCAAAAGACAGAGACAAAATCAGCTTAATCACTTAGGCGAAAGAGTGAATATCCAAAAGGGGTTTACATTACATGAATGTTTAAAGTCACAGGTTTTAATGGTGTATCAGATATCCAGAATGATTATCAGTTACAGAAGGTCACCAGGGTCTAGATAAAAATATATATCCAACAAAGCATCAGATGTTAGATTGTGACTCTTCTGCTAGTCCTAAGGTTTGTAAGAAGAATAGTGTCTGGGACATGAAACTGAGAAACTCAAAGCCACAGAGTTTCGAAATCTGCTCCGACATAAATTCTTGTCATATCTTCCCACTTGTATTCAATCCTTGTTATCTGATCTTATTATCCAAGCAAATTCACAAAATACTAAATGAAAATGAAATCTTTATTAGAATCCGAGTCTCAAAGCTAACCTGACAAAGTCATTATGGAAGTTATTGGGCAAAAAAGTAAGAAGCCTACTAAAATTTTATTTAGTTTACAATCTTATTTCACTGAAACCATTCAACATACATAAGATATGCACACACTTTAGTTACTCTGAGAGATATCATATCTTAGATACATACACATATAAGACGTATATATGCTTCATACCCTTCCACTCATTTACATCGAGTTTGATACTTCTCTCTTTAGCATAAAGTTTTGCCCACAATTTATCAATAATCACATCAAAGCAAAATTCAGCCAGCATAGTGCAGCCTGGAAACAAAAGCTTGAAATCGGAAGTGCAAGGACTATCTAACGTGAAAGAATATGTTCTGCACTTCCACCATTACCGAGAGTGAACACAAGCATGTACGAGGATTGTAAATCGAAAGCTTATTTTTAATCTTTTTTAAACTAATTTATTCTGGATGAAATAGGTATTCATACAAAATGATACGATAATCTAAGTATTTCAGCACAGGTTCTTCATACACATCGAGTGTCCAAAACATACATGTACGACATATTATCGTAGACTCTCGAAGGTGCATTAAGTTTTAGATAATCCATAATGCCTTTAGCACAGGTCCCTGATCCACCTCCAATTTCATATATCTGCAGAAAAATATAAGGTAGACATCTTAAGGCAAACCCTCAATATTCAGGTTACATATGCAAAGCAGTTTTGATAGAAATTAAATAGAAAAAAAATCTGCAGAGATCAAAGAGAGCCTAAAACAAAAAACTCCAACGGATCTATGTTGACCATCAGATGTGTCACAGTATTGGAAGACACCTTATGAGCACATTAATAACACTTCCTCTTTGAAATTAAACAAGAAGAACTAAATTCATAACTTGAATCCAAAAACTATGAACTTCAGCAGATTTTTGCAAAAGAAAATGTTCTGTTTGGAACCTTGTTAAAGACATGAAACAAACATGCTGGCTTGGAACCTTGCTAAAGACATTAAACAAATCACTGATAGACCTAAATGGCAATAAAAGATGCACGTAGAACTAAAGAAAACACATGGAACAGATCAATAAGAGTAAATCCTCATGCCATAAATGGCTGCAACACAAACTGTGTAGTCAAATGCAAATAAGTGCTGACAAATAAGAAACCACAGTTTTCGGCACTTACTTTTAGTGGAATTGAAAGGTTAGCAGTGCGCAGAATAGCTTCAGCAATCCCATGAGCATACCAAGGCTGCAAGGGAGATGATTTTAGGACAACTTAATCAAGTTCTGCAATAAGAAGTGTATTTATGTACCTTAAAAAGCTCTACTGGCGTAAACCATGATACGTCACTCTGTTTGTAGATTTTATCTAAAAGCTGCAAATAAGCTCTTCGGCCTGAAATATTTTGAACCTTCCATTAATTCTTTCATGCTGGGGCATGATAAATTCTAAGAAATGATAAATCATGGAGTTAGACCTAACTATAGTACTTTTAATGTTATAATCCTTTCATCTTGAACACCAAGAAACTAAAGAGGTTCCAAAATGATTCAGTAATATTTCTGCAACCATAGAAGCTTTGGTATTCTTCTGATGGGTATGCACTAAGATGAATGGATCATCACTCCTACCGTATACTATCATAATTTCACATAACGGCTCGTGAGCAACTTGTTCCTTATAACAATGTGTACTTAAAGCCTGATCGAAAAAGATGAGCCGTAGAGGAGCAAGGATGAAGGAAAATGCTTTCGCTTCATGTCACACTTCAGTATGTATTCTTTCTTCCTGCTCCATTATCTCATATTATGATCTTACAAGAATGGTCGTCATTCTAATAGATTAATCATTTATAATAGCTCTCACCAGGAGAAGCTCAAACTAAGATTTTGACTACTATCCCAGTAAAATTTCAAGTGGAAAGGGATGAAAGCAGGAATGCTCATACAATAATTTCAAATAATTCATTTGAAACCAATTAACAAAGTAATCCAGAAAGAGGTTCTATACCATCCAGTTGACCGAATTTTATGCTTTGCTCAAGCACCCCAACTGAACCTGGTCTTTGAGAAAAGTAACCATGTTGTGGATCATATAATGCAGCATGAATAAAATCCCTCACCTACATATTTTTTCCAAAGTATTTCAAAAAAAAAAAAAAAAATTATTTTGCTTGGCATATTCATCAAATAAATCGTGGGGAATTACCAGTATTGGTTCATCACCAACAAAACGTGTGGAGAACGATGCAGAAGCTCGAAATGGCAACTGGGTTACATATGGAGATACTGAAACAAGGTTCCATCACAATCATTTTATAGTCCCAAAAAAAAAATACTACTAACAGAAAACTAATACATTTTTCGGTATCACAAGAAAATGAAAGAAACGAAATGGATTGAAAACTCAAAATGGTACCTTTAGTTGAGAGGAAAAGCGAAGAAAGAAAACTGGGGAAAAGGGAACGCCGGTAGGCCATTGATGCTTTAATAGCAATCTCCTTCTGTTCTTCAATTTCTGGGATTAAGAAACTGATTATGCATTTCTAAAGTTTCCTATTGAAAACTGCTAGTAATTTCTAGCTTTTGATTTTTCATTTGAAGTTCCTCACGATTTTTCCAAAGGAATAAAGAGGTTACTGCAGATTTGGGCATGAATTTTGGGGGAAAAACCTGGGAAGGTTTAGCAGAGGTTTTGCTGATCTTTCAATAAGATGGAACTCTAATGAAATTCTGAAAAGAGACTTTTGCCTCTTTTGTTCAGTCTTACTACGTTCTGGTCCTTTTATTTGGAATTTTTTCTTTAAATATATTTCCTTATATATACCTGGATAAAAATAAACCTTTCAAAAATTTTGTGGACAAACTTATATGTCCTGGATTTAAGAAATCCGAATGGGGAAGAAATTCGGATTTCGAAAATCCGAATCTCCCTAAACTCGGATTATAGAAATCCGACTTTGTGTTACGTAAATCCGATATTAAGTTAATGACAGAAATTAGTGTAATTAATCTAAATCCGGATTTTCTAAATCCGTTTTTACGAATAAAATATTAATTTCCGGATAGAAAAAAATATGTGTTGAAAAATTAAATTTGAGAAAACCCGGATCACGGTAATCCGAATAAATGTAGATTCGGATTACCGAAATCCGAATCTCCTCTGTTTTCTGAAAAATGCTAACTTTCAGTTGGCTACATACTCGGATTTACGAAATCCGAATCCTTTACAAAAAGTCTGAGTTCGGATTTCGCAAATCTGAGTCTATGTCAGAACTGAAAAAAAATTAGACAGTTTTAACCAGTCCTAAACCTGTTTACAGCACCAAAACAATGAAACATTGGAAAACAGAAATTTAATGGCAACAAAACAATAAACGGCATTCAATTAACAACAAAACAAATCAAGTTTCATACCAAAATCAATACAAAAACTACTTTAAATGTGCAAAATACATCAAAAGTCTCATTTTTTCCCTTTTCCTTTATTGTGCGCATCCGGAGTATATTTATTTGGGCCCTGCCGGATCCTGTCTCCCCTCTTAAGATACGTGAGGATTGAACTCTGTTGTGGTTGCGACTGTCCACCAAACTGAGCCTCGGGTTGAGGTTGGGATTGGAACTCCCCCATGGTGAGAAATTTGACTCCCGGTTGTGGTTGCGACTGTCCACCAAACTGAGTCTCGGGTCCACCAAGGTCAAACTGAGTCTCGGGTCCACCAATGTCTTCAAATTGAGTCTCGACCTGGATGCGCGAGCCTCGAGAAGAATGTGCTTGATCCTCATTTTGTTGACCCTCAGTTTGTTGTTGCGATGTCCGAGGGAGGATTGGGACCTTCCTCTTTCTTCCTCCTCCAATCTTATCTCTCGATCACGGTTTCGCTTTTTTGGGCATGAATTTTGGGACTTAAGCTTTGTTTGACGATATAGCATTTTATCTTGTATCGGTCACGGGTGAAGATGTTTAGGTTGATATTCGTATTGAGAGCCCGATGTCGGCTGCACCATTTCAATCCTACACAAGGTAACCAATACAAACATCAATCCAAATATGCAAAAAAAATGATGCACTAACCACAAAAAAAAACTAATACTACATTCGGATTTCTCGACTACATATTGCACCACAAAAACTAATACACCACAATTCACAATACATATTCGGCAAAAAAATAAAAACCTACATTCGGCCAAAATAACTACACTCAAACCGAATCCAAAAACAACCAAACTAATAAACCACAATTCACAATACACATTCGGCAAAAAAACAAAAACCTACATTCGGCCAAAATAACTACACTCAAACCGAATCCAAAAACAACCAAACTAATACACCACAATTCACAATACACATTGGGCCAAGAAAAAAAAAAACTACATTCGGTCAAAATAACTACACTCAAACCAAATCCAAAAACAACTAAACTAATACACATTCACCAAACTATGCACATATATAGACAATTCACATTCTAATTCATCCTCAAATTAAACTCAACTCAACCAATGCATCAAACCATATACATTCGGCCAAACCAAACAATTCACATTCGGATTTTACAAAAACAAAACACATCCAGCCAAACCAAACCAATTCAAACTTCAAATTATTACAACAATACACATTCGGCGAAAAAAAAAATGAAATTTGGATTTCAGAAAAAAAAAAATTCGAAAAAAAAATTAAGCAGTTGAAAAAAACTTACCGGGAGGTTTGAATTCAGTCGGGAAGAATGGAGGGATTCGCCGAGAAGAATGGAGGGAGTCGCCGGGAGGAGTGGAGGGAGTCGCGTATTCGAAAAAGTGTTGATGCTACCATTCTCTATCACATACTTGCTTGTATAATACAAATTAAGCATGTATGATACATTACGTGCTATTGATAACTGTTAAAAAAAAACATTAATAACTAATCATTTCTTAATAACAAAGTCAACAAATATACCATACATACTCCATTCATAATTCAAAAAACCTATAAAATACTAAAATACTTATAAATCAACTTCCTTATCTCATGAATAACTATGATTTCTCATCTCTAACCTCAAAATCAACACCTAAAACATCCAAACAACCAACCAACATAAACCCTAATCTAATACATCATTCTAACAATCAAAATAACACAAAACTAACTAAATAACAAGGTTTTGCAATCTAACCTCTTACAAATAACGATTCCCACGTATCTAGAGACAAAAATGCATCAAAAGCTCCAATTCCCCCTTGTTTGAGCTGCAAAAACAGAAAATCCAACTCAGTTCTCGAATGAGAACTCTTTGAATTTTTTTTCTTTTATAGCACGATAAACTCGAATTTCTGAAATCCGAGTCCGTAAGTAGCTCGGATTTTAGAAATCTGAATTACCGTGGCCTCGGATTTCCTGAATCCGAGTTTGGTCAATTCCGGATTTTTTTTATTCATTTTTTGGTCCTCCAATTTATGGCACATGCCTACTTCCACCAACCAAAATTAAAGGCAGTTGGATTTCCAAAATCCGAATACAAAAAACCGAATTACGGACTTCCGGTTTTTGGATTAAAAAATTTCGCGCCGCGATTTTCTTTTTTCTTTTTGTACACTTGGATTTGGTAAATCCAAGTACAACTGTTCATTTAAGGAGTCCAGGTCCTGAACTCCTTATTTGAGTTCAAATATTTCGCGCCTCAATTTATTATTTTTTAACTAAATTCGGATTCCGGAAATCCGAACGACACTGTTCATTTCAGAATTTTTAAAAACTAGTATTCAACAAAATTTATTTAATTATTATTTTATTATTAAATATAGGCTTGGATTTACGAAATCCGAATGTTTAATTTTAATTAGAACTCGGATTTCGGAAATCTGAGAGATATATTTCTGTCCACTAATATTCTGAAAAATTCAAATTTGTTCACGTTTATTTTAATTATTTTTTTTTTTGGGAAAAAAAAGCCCTTTTATTTGAAACATAATAACACATTTTAAGGAACAACAAATGAAATCATCAATACTAAAAACTTTTTTTTTCCAACCTTTAACTCGCAACAAATCATCAATAATAATTTTTACTTTTTTAAGTAATAAATTAAATTCAATTTCAATTTTTCTTCGCTTTATACTTTGTGAGTGAATTATTAGTTAGTACTTTTTATTATACTAGTATGTACCTCGTGCGTTGCACGATGGGATTTAGATATTATTGTGCTAAAATATTTTACATCATATAATATATCGTCAAAATATAAAAATTATGAAACTACCAATAGTAGATATTCAAAAAAAAACAAATGAAAAAAATCAAAAGATCAAAGTAATGAAACTATAAAATTTTACTGTTCATTACATGTTTTATCCTTAAAAACTGCAATAATAGATTATTCATTATGCAAAATACAAGGTATATCTTAATGTATATATACAGTTGTCATCATCATCAACGTTGACTTCATCAGGAATGAAGAGGAACAACCTAAATTATATACAGTTGTTCCTATTTTGTATACTTAATAAAACTATTTTTCTTTTTTTTTTGGTGAATCAAATTTTACCCCCCAAGATTCGGGCCTTTTGGCCCCATCTATCATAAATCTCTCGAATTTCGGTAATACTAATATATATCCACTTGACTGATAGTAAATTTACTAAATGACCCCTTAACATACTAATATTATCATCAAATTTGTATAAACAGCAAAAGATACATTTTATCTATATTTGTTTGATTGTACAGTTTTAATATTTTGAATATATATCGTAATTTAAGTTTAAAAAAATACTTCATATTAAATTTTTATATTAATCTACATGAATAATAAATTTTCTAAGTTAATTATATCATATCTTTTAAAATGAAATAATCTTCAGTAAATACTATAATTTTATTTTTTTGAAGCATAATAAATTATATCATTAATTATAGATTAACTTTTATTAAGTAATTTCATGTTATACTTGAATGTGGAAAATAACAAATTGAGTCATGTTTATTTTTAATGGTCAAAAAATAAAGAAAATAAACTGAAAACAAAGGGAATGACAATGAAGTATATGTGAAGTAGTCATTTTAGTAACATCAATGATAGGGAGAGTGAAAAAAATAGTGAAAACTCATAGTGACTAATGTGTAAAGGGCAGAAGTGTAATTTTTTTGGGAAGAATAAAACTTTTAATGGGAAAGTACTAAAAAAAAGGGGAGTTAGTATATGCCAATTCAGTCACTATTCTTATTCACTATTTGTTATCACTATATTTATCATTTTCCTGCTTTTAGTAATATTAATGTTTAACCCCCTCTCAAGGGATATATGGTAATATTATCAAAATTCGGGGTGTTTATGTTTAATCATGCTAAAACTTGGGAGGTAAAATATAGTTCGTCCTTTTTTTTATTGGAAACATTTTCCTTAGAAAGGGCAATTTACAAATCTTCATTTTGTCTGAGGTCAATACATAATATTCGGGAACCTTCCTAGATGAACCAATTTTACAAATACAAAATTTTACAATTAGAGTTGCCCTTTTCTTTTGGCCGCCATCGCCACTTGCTGGCCGTTCTCATCGTATGACATCATCATCTTCAACTTGAAATTTTCTGTCACTGGTAGAAATGAAAATAATTTTCCACCGTCACCTCCCTTTCCATTGGCGTCGAATACCAACAGCAGGCTTAAAAATTCACGACTATAATGAGAAAGTCGGATCCGACCAGAAACTAAAAATCGACTCCCATTTCCATGTCATCGTCAACCCAGATCTATGGCATCATCGGCATCGCATGTCCGGCGAAAATAAATAAAATTTTTTGATTGATGTTCAACCTCAGTGCAGAATGATTAATATGCTTTTCTTTCACCGGCGATTAACGACAAGTTACCATGGAGGAAAAGGATATTTGCTGTGAGGACTGGTGAGAAATAAAAACTTAATGGCGTTGCCTTTTTGGATTTGTAAGAAGTGCTTCATAATACGTCGACATCGAGATCAAAAACCGGAGTTGGCAAATGTACGTTAGCATGGGAAAAATGAAACGTGGACTAAAACTAAAAATAAATAATCGTACTAATAATAAATAAATTATAATAAGTAAAATTGATAGAATAACCATTTTACATATATTTTTTTACTGTTTAATGATCATCTAATAAATAATGACACGTGTTCATTAGACTACTGATGGCCTTAATGAGCGACACGTGTTGATTATTTTTCTTTTTTTAATATATATAATAATTATTTCTGTTGAAATTATGTGGGCCGGATTGATCTCTTATAATTATCATTCTTTCTGTTTGTCGTATCTTTTGTATAGTTAATATTCTTCAAAATTTTATATTTCAAATTACGTGGTTTTGTTAGAGTGTACGTTATTATAAAGGAACGAGCTACGAATTTGAAGATATTCGGATTCAGTTACCATTCCTAACATCATAAAATCTTCTCATGCTTTATATGAATTATCATAGACGTTTGTCATTATTTTCTTAAAATTTGTAATTGATATGTTATCATTACTATATAATTATTTTGTCGTCGTCTAACGACCTTCAATTTGTTTGTGTATTTTTATTTGGTTGTCATTCTTCAGAATTTTATACATCGGATTTCATGGTTTTGCCATAGTATATGCTAACATAAAAGAACAAGTGGAGGTATATAAAAGGACTTTTATCCAGATTTAAGTAGAGTTCACTATAATGGATTTTTTTTTTCTCTCTCTTGTTTTTTTTTTAAAAAGACAAAAACTTTCTCATGCTTTATATGAATTATCATAATAGTGGCCGTTATTTTCTTAAAATTTTTACGTTAAGTGGTTATGAAATATGTCGTTTACTAAAACCTTTCAGTTTCACACTCTTATTTGAGATGCATTACATTATTTTGACAAATTTTGGTACTAAAATACTAGTTATTCTAGATTGAAAATACTAATAATAGAAATCGAAAATTGAATGATAGCCTAATGGTTAGAATATTGTGTTTTCTGATATCAGACATGGGTTCAATCCTCAACAAGGGATATATAAAAAAAGGGTCTATTGGGTAGATTTTCTAAAAAAAAGAAATAAAAAAATACTAATAGTAGAAACCTAACATGAAAAAACTTAAAGTTATTTAGAAAGAGTGGCGATACATTATACATGAAGGGATTTGACAAGTAAATTTACAATAAATGTGTGACTGAATTTTAATTATTCTCTAACACTTATATAAAGAAATTTATTAAAGTAAAATGTAAGTACGGCGATTATGATTCATTCCTTGTTAAAATTTCACAAGGAATTGAATCCACATGAAATAAGCATTGGATATTGATAAGAAATATCGGTAATAAAATACTTAAGCATTTAGTATGAAAATTTTACTACTCCCTCCATTTTAAAATGTAAGTCTTTTTAGACTTGGCATGTAAACTAATGAGACAATCATCCAACAATTAATTTATGTATTAAATATCTTTTTTATCCCTCGTTAATTACATTGAAACTATAAACGAGACTAAATAAAAATAGATTAACATCATTTATTGATGGTAAAATTAAAAAAATAGTCATTAATTTGTCTAGAATTTATAAAACGACCTACTCTTTCTAAACTTAAAATGACCTACATTTTGAAATGGAGGGAGCTATTTGTATGAACTAATGCTACCTACTTTTTGGGTAGTAACCCAACTTCTTGGTTTCAACACAAAATTAAAGACAAATAAAGAAATGTAATTAACCAAATTAAAGACAAATATATTTTTTAAAAGAAAATCTCTTTAATAGTTAGCAAGCATTTAAGCAATTATTCTGAAAAGGTCAAACAACTCGAGCCAATTGGTTTCTCTTCCACATGAGGCCTCATCCATTGCCAAAAGTGATTACATCCTTCTCTAATTAAAATATTCCCATTTGCTAATCATGGTACTACTAATAGTATAATGCATCATACCATTTCTCTAAGCTACTTTTTTCAACCATTTTTATATTATCCCTACCATTTTTATAATCATTTTCTTATTTTTCCCTTTCTTTCTTTTCCCTAGAAAATAATACAAAAGTCACCTACAAACTTTTCCTTAAAAAAATAAAAACAAACTAGGAGCAACATGTTCTGCTATCCCTAGTCCCTAATAGCCACAGATGATGAAGAGACAAGACAGACAAAAACATACATCAAATAAGCCATACAATAAAATATCCATTTGATCATTTTGTATCACCTTTTTTTGTCATTAATATAACACTAGCCAACAATTTATCTCAAAATTCTTAATTTATTAACTAAGAAAAGTTAATACCTTAAAATACCAATTTGTTAAAAACCTAACGGTGTTATCAACGATCCAAATCATTAGAATAAATTTTCATTCATTTGAGAATTATTATAACCTTTAAACTTACGGGGATTGATTGAATTATTCATCCCTGTAATGAAATTGATAAATGAGACCTACAACTTACAACATAGACCGTCATTTTTTTTTTTTTCACTTTCATGTATGAATGTATAGTTCATATCACTCGTTAAAATCGCTGTCTTTACTCTTGATCATTTCACGCGAAATTCCTCTAATTTGTATATTATATCTATTTCAATATTATTGTTATTATTACTAGTTTAGAAAAGATAAATTTTGAATTAATTACTCAAAAGAAATTATTAAAGAAATCATAGTTGCAAAAAATAACAAAGACAAAAAGCAAAACAAAGACAGACAGTACTGAACAAAACATCGCTGTCCTGTTTTCACTTCCCTTCACTTCTCCTCTTCTTCTTCCCCTCTTCCATTTCTCCACCCCCATTTCTTTCTCCACCTCCTAATCTTCTATTTCACACACTCACACAGTAGCCTCCTATCTCTCTTTTTTCCGCTCTCCTACAAAAACAATTTCTGGGTATTGAAGATTAGTCAAAAGGGGTTCCTCCATTGTCATCCCCATTTCGTGTTTTGGCGGTGCCGTGAAAAAGGAAGGAGGAAAAGGGATGTATTCCTCGGCGAGGCTGCCGATGGTACAGACGCTGCCGCTTGAGGCGGTGAATGGCGGCGGCGGCGGCGGCGGTGTTGGAGGGGACTACCATATTCATCATCATGGTGGGCCCGGTGTGGCTTTAGATGGGACCAACTTGCCTGGGGACGCCTGCCTCGTTTTAACTACTGACCCTAAACCGCGGCTCCGGTGGACGGCCGAGCTCCATGAACGATTTGTTGATGCCGTTACTCAGCTTGGAGGCCCTGATAGTGAGTACCAACTAAACCTTTTTCCTCTTTACTGGTCATTTTTCTCTACCAATACATACAATTTTTCTTTTTTTGCATGTATAAACCTGAATTCATCCTTGAAGATTTGTTTTTGAGCTGTAAAAGTGTGAATTTTTTTTTGGGGGGAGGGGGGGGGGGATTTCTGATAGTTGGTAAGAGTTTTGGGGTCTGTGGGATTTGTGGGACCTTTTGCATTAATGGTTGTACCTCAGTCAATGCAGTATAATAATGTGTTCATGGAATACCATGGTATTTTACTTGGAAATGGAAATAAATAGAAAATATCACCTGGGCTCTGTACAGTGTTCTTTGGTGGTTGGAATTTCGTCTTCAGAGCAGTAAAATTAAGTAGTAAGGTTTTTGCTTTATTTGAGCAATAGTAAAAGGAATTCTTCTGGTATTTTGTATTTCCTTGGTTCAAGGAGTAATCATTGACTAATTTTGGCTCATATTCGTACAACAGAAGAGTAAAGTTTTTTCATTTTTTTGCTCTCCATATTTATTTTGTTTTCTTCGGGTGTTTAAATTGGTTTTTTCTGCATCATAGAATAAAGATAGTCTCTATAGTTGTGTCTTTTCAGGCTGATGTTGATTGATGTAATATGATCACCCAATTGGGTCAAACCTTTCTCACCTTTCCTCTTGCTCTGTCTGAGTGGTAGCATTCGTTCCATTTTGTGGATGACTAAGACAACATGTGGTTGTGGAACTCATTTCGCCAATTAGTCATCTTTCCCTTTTTCCCCCTTTATCATTTTTGTTATTAGTCTTGAGAAAACTAATGGCAAACTGTAGTTTAATGACCTTTTCCTTTTTCGGTAATAAGTAATTTTTAATGACCCTCTTGTTACATTCCTTGCAAAAAAAAAAAAAAAAATCCTCTTATCATTCTTTGACAATTTTGTCGGCATAATTATTCCTATTTATATGTTGATTGAACTTCAATTATGGAAATAGTCAGAAAATGATTTTTGTAATGTTAATTTTGTCAGTCATTAAGGCAATTTATCATATTATTATCCACTTCGGACAAAGTACAGTGACTGCTGTAGTTTGTCGTGGTACTAAATATATTAGAGTACGGTTCTAAGTACTATGTGAAGGGAGCCTTATCTCAGTGGTAAGAGCTGTTGTCATTTGACGTCACAGTGTTGAGTTGTGGTAATAGTCTCTAAAAGAAATAACGGTTGGGCTTCGTGCCTTAATGGCCGGAGGCTTTCTTAGTCATGCAAAATTGGGATTTTATGATAACGGCCCGAGCCTTCCCTTTCATGCAAAATTGGGATTTTATGATCGAATAGTCTTATACATCAAATCTATTAGAAGCATGCAGGACTTTCCATGCACCGGACTGCATTTTAGTAAGAAGTGTCACTCATGACTGCATAAGGGCCAATACATATAACATATTCCCATTGTAGGAGTGCAAGTAGAAATATGTATGTAAGAACTCGGTATTACTATTTGGTTCAGTGTCGGCAGTGATATGAAGTAAATGATTTTGATAGAAGATCTAATAGTGTATTATTGGTTGAATAGATTGGTATCTGTTCAGATCTTCCTCTAGTTTTGTATTTTCTTGCCCTTGCGAACTGGTCAATATTTAGCAGATTACGTAAGATTCCTTTCTATAGACGGGCTATGTGTAACAAAAGCTGCGGTTTTTTTTTTTTTGGTTGGGTACTTTGGCCGTTTTGCGTATCCAATTTCTGGAAATTTGGTTAGTAGCAACTTCAATACAAAAACTAACTCTGATTTGGATTCCCATTAAAAAAAAAAATTCTGTATGAAATACTTATAAGTTTTCTTTCACGCAGGAAATTTGCTCTCTAAATAAATTTTCTTCAAATATTTTATTGGCTTGATAATATGTAAAATCAAAATGCCTGGCAGATCAAATAGTTATGCGACAGCATTTCTCTTTACTATTGAATTTGGGTATGCTAGTATTCTGACTGCTTTTATTGTCTTTTGTTTTGCATCTTGTGGACATTTAAAGATTGTGCACACACAGCTTCTTACTACATTTGTTGTATATAAGTAGCGGCATCCTCCTCGGGCTTTCTCGTTGTTGCATTTTTCTTGACTTTGCGGTTAATTCATTTTTGAAAACATAATGTTGAATGAAGAGTTAGTATTGTTCTTCTAACCAGTTGTTTGTTACAGAGGCAACACCAAAGACGATTATGAGAACAATGGGAGTGAAAGGCCTGACACTGTATCATTTGAAGTCGCATCTTCAGGTTCTAATCACGTGCTCTAAATTTCTGCTGCTGATTTTAAATTTTTTATTAGAATAAGGTAGAAAAAAGGTAAACAAGAACCACGGGTCAGACTTAGTCTTGCATTTCAATGTTTAATCTGTTGTGAACACCAATAGTTCAAAAGTCCCCTAGCAATTATAGGTAATACTCTAAAAGTGGCAAAGTATAAATTCTGTTCATGTTCCCGTATGTTAATGAGTTTATGTTTTTTATGTTTCCAGAAATACCGTTTAGGAAAGCAAGCTTGCAAGGAAACAACTGAGAACTCTAAAGATGGTATGACTTCTACTGGTTTTGATATTTGCCTTTGTTCTTCTGACATTATGTCCTAGTTATGCTAATTTGTTTCATTTTCCTGTTTGGATGTCTGTCTCTAGGAAGCATATAGTTAAGAATAATTGATTTCTGCCTATCTGGCATATGCCAAATACGAATAGGATGCTGGTGTCTCTTATGCTATTCCTTCTTACTCCGAAGTAGAAGTAGATAAAAGCCAAAATTAGGACAATATGAAATTTATTTTTTTTATTCTGTACATTTATGATGACGCCCTTTCAAGTAAGTGCTTACACCATGCTATGTACTTTCTTGGTAATATGTAATTTTCTTTTGCCTCTTAATTAGCACTTTAAGCTTTGACAATTCCGTTCTTTGACAATTTGGTGTTTTGCAGCTTCTTGCGTAGCCGAGAGTCAGGATACTGGTTCATCTACATGTGCTTCGTCAAGAGTGGCTGCTCAAGATATAAATGAGTATGTTCTGTTTTATGTGGCTTATTTTTGCCAAATTGAATTGTAATCTTACTCAGTTGTTTCCCTGTCTTTGATCAGTGGCTACCAGGTTACGGAGGCTTTGCGTGTGCAGATGGAAGTTCAGAGAAGACTGCATGAACAGCTTGAGGTGAGTTACCTTACTGACTTTCAAGTTTTTTCAACATCTTGATCAGTAGCTCGTAGACCGATTGCAGTTTGATAATCACTTCTGTTTGCGCTTCCTCTATGACTTTAAGGATCAATTTTTCCAATTTTGTTAGCTTATAGTATCTCTGGCCCAAATAAATAGTCCACGTTAAGTTTTGAGATTTGTACATATACTATCTCTGGCCCAAAAAAATAGTCCACGTTAACTTTTGAGATTTGTATTTAAAATTGTACAAATATCAAAACTCAATTTGGACTATTTTTTTTTTTTGGATATAGAGTGGTAAATAATAACTTAAGCCGTGGCTGATCTCCAGGACAATTTGCAAGACACGTTGATTCTTGTGCCACCTGACAACCTTTTCTGGCACAAAAGAAATTTATTTCTTGATAATACTTTGCATGGGAAATATGCTGCATCTTTAATTAATTGTTAGGAGTGAAAAATTTTTCATTGTGTTGTTGCATCTCTTGAGATGAGTTGATATCGTTTGATAGGCTCAGAAAAGAGGGTGCAACTGTTTTAGGGTGCACTAGTTATTCCTAGAACGCGCAGTTATAGGATCATAGCATGTTAAACTTCTGAAAGCTTTCTTTGTGACTCTAAAAGTCTTCTTTTTATTGTCCAACCAGGTCCAGCGACATCTTCAGATTCGCATTGAAGCTCAGGGAAAATACCTGCAGTCAATTCTTGAGAAAGCATGTAAAGCTCTAGAAGACCAAGCTGGGTTAGAAGCAGCTCAGGAGGAGCTCTCTGAACTTGCAATTAAGGTTGCTAGTGACTGTCGAGGGATAACCTCTGTTCATCCACCTTTGACTGAAGTTGCTGCCTGTATGGAAAACAGAAATCTGCAAAATATGCCTGCTCGATTTGGTGATTGCTCGATTGACAGCTGTTTGACATCAACTGAAAGTCCCGTATCTCCCTTAGGGGATGGTTCACAAACTGCTGCATTTAAGAAAAGGGGCCGACCCATGTTTGGCAATGGAGAGTCTCTCCCTTTGGAAACTTCCATGCGGCAAGTGGAATGGATGATGACTAACAATGGTTGACAACTTAAACTTATCCGCTTCAGAGATGGAGATGCTTTTTTACTGGGGAAACTTCTTTTATCCTTCTTTTTAGATGTTATTGATCTCAACAATCACCCATTGTTGCAACAGTCCTTGGCTGCCTTTTGTACATTACCTAGGAAGATTAATTTCAGAGTAATTGTTGATTTGGTAGGGACCTCCTCCTGTATTCTGACTTTATTGACCAACTGACCTAAACTGACATACCTTTGCTGTTCCTTTTAAAGACTCCAAAATTCATGAATCACAACCCATCTCCAGAGTGTGTAAAGAGGTAGATTTTGTGTTGGACTTGTCTGGAAAATAGATTTTGTGTTTTGCTAAGAATGCACTAGTTGTGCTCGATTAATGAAATGTTATGGTTTTGTTCACAAGTACCTCAAGTGCATTGGTCTTAATCTTGATGGAATTTTGTCATTATTCCAGTGGAACGTGATTGATGCATTTATCTACAACTTCATAATCTGTGTTCACAATAACTGAGATAAAGTAAGTGAGAAAAAGAATCGCATTTGACTGTAATTTCTATCAAAGTAGGCTCCAGGACAGTAATTTCTCCCTTTCTTAACAAGGAACAGGATTTGGAAAAGAAACATTCTATCAAAGTAGGCTCTAGAACAGTAATTTCTCCCTTTCTTCAGAAGAAATGAGGTTTGTAGTCAAAGTTATCATAGCTTACCCACTAACAGGGAAAACTGGAATTTTCAAAACCAAAGAAAATGATGGCATTTCTACTTTACTTCCCTACATGCTCCACTTCAATCTTGATGCTTTGCTTTTCCTTTCCTTGCAGGGCTACTTTCACTATCCATCGCATCTTTCTTCTTCAATCTAGCTAACTCAGGCACCTTCTAAAAGGCCCAAAGCAACTTCATTGTTCTTACTACCGAAACCATGAATTCACCAGGTATATTTTGCACCTTCTTTTCCTTGTGTTCTTTATGCCTTTGCAAGTAGTGCGGTTCCAGTTATCATTTAGTGATGCTCCGAGAAGCATAGTCAATCTGTTTAGTTAACCAACAAGACTATTTAAGGGGAGATGTCCGATTGTGAAATTCTATTCTTTCAGGATTAACAGTTGCCTTCATTTCAGCTACTGGAACTTCATCTTGAAGGTGTTTTTTTTCCAATCACACAGCTCTGAAGTCCTTCTCCAGAAAACTAGTAGGAATGTTCTGTTGTCAACGTTCAGAAAGCAAGTATGAGAGGTTAGACTCTCGGCTACAAAAGAGAATGATCGAGATCAAAAGAAGGTCATCACAAGAGAGCAACTTCAGGTCAATCAATGCCATAATCTTGAAATTTCCCAAGTTCAAAGAGGGATTGCAAGAAATCAGGAATGTGTTTGAACAGTGTGGTAAGCATGTAATTTTTTTTTTCCTCTCCAATTTAGGAAATTTCAGCTTCAAACATATGGAATTCTGACTGGATGTCCCTGTGTTCTTCCCCGTTATTTATGCAGATGAAGATAAAAATGAGATAATAGACCGAGCGGAACTGAGAAAATGCTTGCAGAAATTGCAGTTAACCATATCCGAGGAGGAAATTGATGATCTCTTTAATGCTTGTGACATAGATGAAAATGAAGGCATACGACTGAATGAGTTCACTGTTCTGCTATGCCTCATTTATGTCCTATCAGTTCCTTCCGACTCCTCTCATAATGTGAATATATTAGCCCAACCTTTGGTTGTTGATTCCTAAACTATTCTTCTGATCTTTTTATAACACATGTAGTTGTTTTTGTGTGATTGAGTTTTGTTTCAGAAGTTAAAGATTCTTACACCACAGCTTGAAGGTACCTTTAGAACTATTATTGAAGCATTCTTGTTCCTTGATAAAAGTGGTCATGGCAAGTTGAACAAGAAAGATGTTGTCAAGGCGCTCAATGATGCTTCTCCCTGGGAGAGATCGCCTTCTCATGTGACTCGGACACGATTCAGTATAATAAAAACTTGTTATTAAGCTCGTCTGTTTCTTGCAGAAATGCAAATAGATGCATCTTTTAAACATTTTGTAAGCCAGCTTTTTGTCAAATGCAGAAGAAATGGACTGGCACAGGAAAGGAAAGGTCGGCTTCAGGGAATTTCTCTTCGCTTTCATCAAGTGGATTGGGATTGAGTCCGAATCTGATGATGAGGAAATCTATATTGAGAGCTTACCTGAAACATGAAGATCTATCAAGAAACAATCTCAAAGCAGCCAGATTCCATCAAAATGTATGCTATAGTAATGTAATATCAGATCAATGTACACAGTAATCGGTATATTTCTGTTCTTCATGCATATATTTGTCCGTTTGATCAGTGAAACATGTAGATATTTTTAAGTGTCTTGAATTTCAGTGAACTGTTATAGGCTGTAATATAACCCAAAAATTCGGATTTCCACTCCCGAAAGATGAAAAGGGTGAGGTCAGTGGAAATAGAGAAATGTTCTTCCTTGAAGACAAACTACTCTTTGTACATGCTTCAAAACTGAACTGATTACAAAACCCTTAACATGAAACCTATGAAAGATAAAGATTAATAAGTTGCGTTTTGATTTGCAAAGCTTCTATTACACAAAGTACATCACACTGAACTTCATTGTATTCCAAGTGCTTGAATTCTTCTTATGAGTGACAATGAAGTTGAATTACTTTGTTTCCATTCATGTCTATCCTCCTGCTTTTGCACATTTTGTATCAGCCATTGATCATATCCATCGAGTATGCTTACGATCTGCTTCATGCTTGGTCTTGATTCCGGATTGGAGCTGGTACAAGCGATTCCTAGTTTAATCAATCTCTTCAATTCCCTGGGGTTGTACTTTCCATCCAATCTCCAGTCTACTAAATCTTCATATGATCTTCCCTGCTCCTCAACTTCATGAACTTTCCTCACCAATAGTACCTCAGGGTAGCGAAAATCTACAGCCATTTGCCCAGTTACCACCTCAAGCAACACAACACCAAAGCTATAAACATCAGATTTTGTCGTTGCTTCACCACTTTCTACATACTCTGGTGACATGTAACCAAAAATCCCACAGGTAGACCTTTTTTTGTCTACAACAACATGATGTCCATGCTCGTTGCGAGCCAAAAATTCAGCAAGAGCAAAACAACCAAGCCTAGGATTCATGTCCTCTTCCAGGACTACTGCAGAAGATGTGATACTTCTATGGATCACCTGTTCATCCCATTCCTCATGGAGATAGTGAACAGCAGAAGCAAGCGATCGGATTATGCTGTACCGGTGATGCCATTTCATGCTGGTTTTTTTGTGATGGAAAAGGACATGGCTCAAGACGCAGCTTGCACTGTAATCATACACGACGAGCATCTCTCCTTGCTCAGTACACCATCCACGAAGCTGAACAAGATTCCGGTGGCGAAGTCTTCCCAAGTTTTGGAGCTCGTTTGAGAACCGCAACCTCAATGCTGGACATGTCTTCATGCCTAGCCGCTTCACAAGAACATGGTGATGATCCTCAAGAAGACCAAGATACGCCGTGCCAAAGTCAACCTCAGCAACTCTTCGAGAATCAGCAAAATTGTTTGTGGCAGAGATAATCTCCTTATAGGTGATGACCCTTGGAGTCTCAACAACTGGAAACGAACTTTGTCGCATGTAGCTTTTGTGAGAAGAGACAACAATGCTGTTCTCAAACTCAGCAGTAACATACATAGTCTCCCCCGTGGCAGTGACAAAGTTTGATGAGTTCAATGCAGCATTACTAACGCTTGTCGAGGATTGTGTTGTGGTGGACTTTGTTGTTGTGATGGTGTAGCTAGAGCTAAAATTGCTTGGAGATGATGACAAAGTGATATAAAGAGGATGGCTCTTGAATGAAGGAAGACTTGGTAATTTACCATAAAAGTTTCCGGAAAGAACATCAACAGCCCATTTCATGTTAGGCCTTGATTTAGGATCATGAAGTGTGCACAGAAGTCCAACATGAATCATGTTCTCCATGTCAGAAAGGTTGTAGGATCCATCAGAAAGCCTGGAATCCCCTGCTTGTAGAAGCATTCCCTCATCAGAGAGCTTCCTGATCCAATCAAGCAAAATTATTTGATCATCAGGTAGGGTAAGATCAACTGCCCTTCTCCCCGAAACAACCTCCAACACCACAATTCCAAAGCTGAACACATCAGATTTCGCAGTCGCGAAACTTCTTTTCTGAAAACTCTCTGGAGGCAAGTACCCAATTGTTCCTCCAATTTTAGTAGTTTCCACAAGCCTGAATTGTTGCTGATTGTTATTCTTATTCATCGAAGGAGTTCTGATTTGGGTGTACTCAGTATTATGTTCCAGCCACCTAGCCAAGCCGAAATCACCAAGACGAGCGTTGAAATGCGAATCGAGCATTACATTGCTCGTCTTCACATCCCTGTGGATGATCTGTGTCTCCAGTTGCTCATGAAGGTAAAACAAAGCAGCAGCTAAGCCATTCACAATCTTCTTTCTTTGATCCCAATCAAGAACAAATGATGATGACCCTGATCCTGTTTTCTCTGCTCCTCTGAAAAGAACTCTGTCAAGACTTCTGTTAGGCATATAATCATACACAAGAAGCAACTGATCATCATGAACACACCATCCCCTGAGCCGGACAAGATTCCGGTGGCGAAGATGAGCAACAGCAACCAATTCAGCAGCAAATGTCTTCTCAAAACGGTCTCCTTTCTCTGCCAAACACTTGACAGCAACCACTGTTCCATCACTGGGCAAAACAGCTTTATAAACTCTGCCAAAACCACCACTTCCAAGCAATTCTTCCTTGCTGAATCCTCTTGAGCCTATGTAAAGCTCAGAATAGCTGAAAATTCTTGGGTTTGCAGACCCAACTTCCTCTGTTGATGATGATGACAGCTTCATGCCTTCTGTGTCATGAAACTGCAAAATCCCGGAAAACTGCTCATCTGTGACTTTCTTCTGTTGACAGCAATGGAACCATTTTGAATCAAGGAAGTTGTACAGGGACTTTTGAATGAAAATTTTAACTTGTGTCCCACAAGAGCTGTGTTTATGGGCTTTTTGTTTGAGTTTTTCATGATCAATTGCTTCGTGTTCATCAACATCTGTTGGTAGAACAAAGCACAAACGTTTGATGTGCATGGTTTTTGTAATAATGTTGATGATGGGAAGAAAAAAAAAAGGAAAGTTTGCTAAAATAATAGGAAACCTGGGAAATGGGAAGTGGGAAGCGGTTTTATTCTGTTCTGATTGTGGACTTTTGGAAGGACTCGAATTTGGTGTGTGTGTGTGTGTGTGTGTGTGTGTTTTTTTTTTTTTTAATTCGGAATTTTCAAACGTTAGGTTGCATGTTTTGAATTGTATGCCTCTTCCCAAGATAAAAACTGGCCAACAAAAACCAACCCACTTTAAGATGATATATAAAGTTTTGAGTTTTTAGTTACATTAACAATTGGATCGTGTTTCGTATGAAAATCTAAAAAAATTTTGCAAACCATAAATAAATGTTAATGAGTTTGTGTAAGGATTATGTCACCTATGAAATTAATAAAAAGTTAAAATTGCCGTTTTATTTTGAGTTCGGTTCTTATCGTGTCGCAAATTGTAACATTTTATTGTTTAGGGTTTTTATTGTTCTGTTTCATTTTATTTTGTGAGTTGGCAATATTTTTCTAGAACAAAAGATTTCACATCACATCAATTCACATTTGCAAAGATGGATAATGGCTAAGAATATAAAGAGCATTCACATGTTTAATACCGCGTTCAGGCTAGTTTTCCATAAATAAATGTATATTTATTCTAGAAACATACTATAAAACTACAAGAATTCAATACTCATCTAGAAGACAAAATCTAATAGTTGAACTCTTTTCTTCTCTATTATTCAAATATTGAATTCGATGGTTGTGATAGAAGTTGTGTTCATTGTTTCTTTCTTAACCGTCTATTTAATTAAACTACTACTTCCTCCGGGTCCTTAATATAAGGTATTTTAATTTGTTCTAAGTTTAACTTAGTACTTATTTTTAGTTGACCAAAAAACCTTAAAAGTATTTCGTAACAATTAAGATAATACAACGAATGCGAAAATATATTTTTAAGGTTTTTCATCAATTAAAAATACATACTAGATTAAACTTAGGACAAAATTAAAATGTTTTATATTAAGGACCGGAGAGTATTTAATTCACAAAATAGTTATTTCTTTCGGACGGAAGAATATTTTTATTTTAATTTCGACAAGCACATTAAATGACTCAATCTATAATACTATCATACAATTTTCTATCCATATAAAAATCATTCTAATCTTTGATATATCAACTTCATTATTCAATTCAATTGACGGGACTACAAAATTTCGTCGGTCGAATTTGGGTTATCGATGGAGAAAATAAAAGGTCTTGCATTGGTGTCTCTATTTGATGATATATACGCACGAGTCGGTTCATGGTTGTCTCATGATAATAATGGTTTGCACTTCTGCAGCCATGCCGTTATTATTAATTTATTATCAGTGTTTTTTTTTGGGGGGGTTTTAATTTCTCTTTTGGAGCCAACTAGCCAACCATATTATTTATTGCTTCTTCACTTTTTTTTTTTTATTTTAAAAAAATTGTAGAAGCATGGTTTTATTGATGAATTCTTTTACTTCGCGTCTCAATTTTTTTTATCCATTTTAATATTTCACTTTTATTACAATTTGAACTGAAAATAAAAATTTAAATTAGATAATAATTTCTGGACGGATGAAATATAAACTGAGTATAAAATGAGTTTGATGTTTCGTTATCTGTGGACCTTGGACGGCTGCATATAAAACAAAACTTTATAAATGTAACTTTCTCTTAGACTAAATAAATTAATTAGGGTAACAATATCAACAAGAAGAGGCTAGCAAGTGTAAATTAAGGAGAGATGTCATTAGCACAGTTAAAGCTAATGTTCATATACACACGATCATCACCAAATTATAGATTTTTTATATAAGAACTGTCAGGTAATTATAAGCGAACACATATCACATTCAAATTAATTTTCTTTCGAGCAGAATAAACCTCTTTCAAGTAATAAGATTCTCTCACTCGAAATTATTTGTAACCTATACTACACTGACTCATATTAACGAACTATTAATTGCATTTTATTAATACATTCAATCGCTAATTAAGTGAATGTTAATATCATTCTTTTTTTAAAAAAAATTGATAGAGTATAACGTGAAATAAGCAAATATGATATGGTTGGTAAATAAACAATACATTTTGACGTCAAAATGTTGGTAGGATTATGATTGGAAAAATGGTACATTTGTCTTTAGTCAATACCTAAACAGCACAACCGGTTTTTGTTCTCCCAACATTTTTGGTAATGGAGCTCTCACTCATTCACATACTATCTCTTTTTAGTCATTTTAATTTATTTAGTGCTCAATTGATTCCGAACAAACCAACTTAATCACTCACAGATAAATTTAATTCTTATTAATATTCATAAACTATAGACAAAGATTGTAACTGAATGGTTCATCAAACAAAATTCTAACATTTCATCATATTTTCTATACGTAAAAATTTATACTACTTCCGCTCCAAAAAAAAATAGTTCACGTTGAGTTTTTAAATTTGTACTAAAAATAATATACAAAACGCAAAACTCAATATGGACTATTTTTGTGGGACGGAAGTGTATGTTTTGAACTAATGACTTTATTTGACGGGGACTACAGGAATTTTTCTAAAATATCACAAATACTTTTAAAAGTATTGATAAATTCGTCGTATAAAAAGAAAGGAAAATCCAGCCAACCAAAGAAAATACGTGGACTGGGTTGGGTGGAATTGGGTGGCCAAACCCACTAAAAACTGTAAAAAAAAAAAGAAAAAAGTGCATTTAAATCAAGCTCCTTTTTTGGGCTGCAAACAGCGCGGGAGATCCGTGTCATACATCCTCATTAATTTTGGCGGCATTTGGAAGAAAGATACAGCTGAACTATATCGCTGATGAATAAAAATGGAAGGAAAAAAAAAATGTACTACTAAAAAATTTGTGAACAGAAAAAAAAGAAAAAAAAAACAATGTGGGGAGATCCAATCCCCTAAAACGATCTGTATAAAAGTTGAAAGGAAAATAGTTAATAACATTTATAAATTTATAGCTCTTTACTTTATTATCGCCTCATCTAATTCGCTTTTCACTCGTCATCATACAACATAATGTGTGTAACGGTGATTAATTTGTGTAAATATAATTGCTCAAAATGTCAGATATTTTGTAATGGTGGTCACATTTCAATCTACAGAAACCAATGCATCAGAAGATGAGTTTGGTGAAGAATATTATGTGGTGGATTTGGTGCAAATTTTTCAATGGTTGCTAATCCAATTCGGTGATGATTGATAATTAGAAATTCAATGGCGCCAAATCAGCAATTGATTGATACCTTAATTGATGTCATTTTCCAAATTTTTACTACTCTGTTTTGGACTCTTTTAAAGAAAGTTTAAGAATTGGCTATGATCTTTTGATTATGTTAAGGTTATATATATATATATATATATATATATATATATATATATATATATTTCGGTATAATAACATCTGGAATTGTGAAATGGAACGTTGCATGGACACAGGTTACATCCATCATTCAACTACTAATACCTTACACTTTGAGCTTTGTACTCAAGTTGGCCAACTAGGGCACCTCTGTTTGGATTTTTTTTTTCAGAATTTTTTTTTATATTAATAAAGGTACCATCCTAATATAATTTTTAACATTTTTAAAACACTTCTTTTTTACATTCTTAATAAAAAAAAATATATGAACACACATTGTAAAAGTAATCCAAACATAATGCTTCTAACTTTGAAAGAAAATGCGCACATCCTTAGAATAAAAAAATACTTAATTATGGTAAAAAATTTAATGGGACTTGATAGTATTGCTTTTTATTAATTAACGGTCACATCATCATTTAACAATAGCTCAATTTTATTTTACTTTCTATATAAATAAATCAAATTACTATTAATGCATGGCTTCAAAATACCATGTAGTATTGTTTCCACCATTCAAATTTGTGGCACCTAATGTAACAGAGAAGAGTGTAATAAAATGGTAAATAAAACTCTTATATACTCCCTCCTTCCCATAATTATTGTCATGTTTGTGTTTTCACTTTTAGTACAACAGGACAATAATTATAGGACGGAGGGAGTAGTAAACAAATAAAAGTAAAAAAGCAAGATAAGTACAAACACAAAAATGTAAAATGACTTTCAAGGCAGTGACTCCAAATGAAATGATTATCCAGTGTAGTATGCTATAACGACACAACAAAGTTTGTAATTACTTTGAGACAACGAGCTTCTCCTATGAGTTTCATAACAGTTCAAATGATCCACAGAAATGGACTCCTACAGATACAAACGCTTTGTTTGGACAGAAAACCAGATTTGATCACTGTATTTTACAAAAGTTTGAGACACAGTTGAACCACATTTGACACTCACTAAATGATAAAATTCCAATAAAAATACTGAAAAACTTACAAGAATTCTGAATTTTTCAACATGATACAAACTGACTGCTGAAAAATGAACAACTACAAAATTTTCACTTGTTCACATAACCACAGAGCTATCGTAATACAAATCCGCCTTTCTCCGTTTTCATTACTGATGTGATCTCTGGCAGAATTCTAAAGCTATCATGTACATGCTGTCTGGTTTTTCGGACTCCCAAAATTATCAGCAAGAGGGCAGCTGCAAAAAAATGGAAGCAAATATGATCACAAGAACCCAAAAAATACCGGAGGATCATTCAAGCAGAGTTAGACCTGTTTTCTTGTTTTAGCTTATAAAGTGAATACTTATGTGCAACAAAGAGCACCAAAATTGTAAGGGAAAGCAAGTAGCTATAAGGCCGTTATTCACTCATCAAACCTTCCAATTCATAGGAATCCTTAGAGTTATTAGTTTAACTTTTATGTTCAGAAGCAGATACACCTTTTTTCTTCTGGAGCAATAAAACTGAGTCATTCAATGCAACTCTCCTAATATTCAGTCTAATTTCGACTTCATTAAACTATCCAGAAATTCTTACCATGTAACTCATCCCTCGGCCTGTTTTGGTCCTTTTTAGGGGTTCCTAGTCCAGAAGTAACAGTATAAAGCTCAATAAGGAGGAAAAACCACTTTACTAAAAACTTTATCTTGAATGAAATTATGGGACAGAAGAGATATGATATGTTAGCTAATAGTCTATTGCAGACCTAAATCATTTTCAGCTAGTCATATTCCAATAGACACTAAGAATCAACTGAACTACGAGATATGCACGAGACACATCTAAAAGAAATGAATGAAAAGTAGCTGGAAAACACAGAATACTTACTTCCAGGAATTGCATTAGTACCGCGGCATCAGTCACCATCTGGATCACGACTTTAGTTATTAGCGATTGATAACGACTTTGATCTCTTGTGTTTCATCCCCAATTTCTTCTGCTGATGCTTCTACAGACTTTCTGCACCAATGCACTTCAACCTTTTGCAGTGTCGCAATATGGGCGAAGTCTGATGGAATTCTCTGCAAATCCTTGCAATTGGATAATATGAGTTGTTGGAGCCTCGGAAGGTGATCATAAGAGGCATCCCATTCAACAAGGTTCATTGCATCTAATTCCAAGTACTTGAGTTCCTCGAATTCGTCTTCCCTCATGTCCCATTTCTGCCCCTGAAAGGTTCCAGCATGCAATTTCAGAACTTCGAGATTGGGTAGTGCCCCTATTACAGAAAGATGATTCTCTTGTAGGCAGAATTTTGATAGTGTCAGTTTCTTGAGACTTTGTGGGAGGAGAAAATCATAAGATGTTGGACTTCCACCAAAGCAGATAATCTTTAATGACTCTAAATGAGTTAAGAAATTCCATCTTATGAACTCACTGCCACTTTCAGAAGATACCTCAGACTTCCAGAAAATGCATCTCAATTTGAGGAGATTAGGCATCCTCTTTAGTATCCTCCATCTATCATCCTTGGAGGACAGTGATGGGGTAGAAAAGCTGATCAATTTTTCCAAATGAGGCGAATTCCCTACCGCTTCATCAATCCCTGGCAAACTGAAAATGGCGTGATTATTCACATGAAGATGCCTCAACCGTACCATGCTCCAAATAGTTCCAGGTAAGATGACCTTTCGCAATCCCTTCACAACCAACGTTTCAAGTTTCCACAACTTGGATATGAATGGTGGAATAGATTTCATATAACCGCTGACAGCTAAATATCTCAAATGAATCATTAGTCCTATTTCAACGGGAAAGCTAACTGACATGATAGATTCCAAGTCCAAAATCCGAAGTAACTTGAAGTTATGGCAAATGAAGGACAAGTCGTAAGGACATTTAGGCTCTGAATCAGAAGATGGGAAGAAAGTCAAGGACCGAGCAAGAGGGCCAGAAGGTCGGGAATCAATAAACTGTGGTCGTTTCACACAAAAGCTCAACCTGTAGCTATTAAATATTGTAGGAGCTACAACATTTTCACTATCAAGGTCCATATCATATTCTGAATCAGGGAGCGATGCATATGGTTCATCATGGCGGCTCACCAGATGATGGAAGCTCTCTTCCTTAGCTTTCAAATGACACAGATCACGCAATAGATCATGAAGACGACATACTTTGACCTTTCCATTCGATCTTGTTTTGTGAATGTTCACTAGGCTTCTGTTAATCAGCTCCGAAAGATAATCCTCTGCGACCTCCTCCAAACTCTTCGACTTAGTCACTTGTATGAACCCTTCAGCCAACCAAAAGCGTATCAACTTGGTCACAGGAATATCTCTGTCCTCAAGAAAAACTCCCAAATAAATAAAGCATGCTTTTAGATATTCAGGCAAGTTCTTATAGCTCAGTTCTAAAATTTCCTTGCAGCGATTTTCTGGATTGCTGATTATTTCTGAGCTTAAGCTTTTCGAGATTTTTGTCCATGAATCCTTGTTATTTTCTAACATCTTGAGGACACCAGCTATCGTTACAACTGCAAGTGGTAATCCTTGACATTGTTGAGCAATTTCCATACCAACTTCCAACAAATCTTCGGGACAATCTGCTGCACCTTTGAATATCTTATATTTTAAGAGTATCCAACTCTCCTCATCTGAAAATGGACGAATAGGATATGGATCACTGTAAGGTCTGATTTCTGAGGCTACATCCTGGCGACGACTGGTTATCAGAATTCTACTTCCATTGTGGTCATCTGGAAAACAATTTTCCAAGTCATTCCAGGCTGTAGTGTCCCATATGTCATCCATAACAATCATATACTTATTCTTCAACAAGCACCGCCTTAGTTTAGACAGGAGATCATCGTCAGTTAAGTTAACCATGTCGTCAGTAAGACCAGCTAGATTACTTAATAGTTCAAGTAACAATTCCCTTTTCAAGTATGTTTGCGAAACATTACACCATGCACGACTGTGAAAATGACATGCCACATTGGGATTATTGTAAACTTTTCTAGCAATAGTCGTCTTACCAATGCCGGGCATGCCAACAATTGAAACGACATCCCTCTGTGAGGATCCTCTGGTAAGGCGGTCAACTATTATCGTTTCTTCATCAAGAAGATCAACAAGCTGTTCATTGATTTCTGGTGTAGCATCTCTTAATACAATCGGGGATGATATCAGTGGGAGCTTTTCTACTTCGCCAGTGTTGGACATCTCATGGGTGTTGAGCACCTGTTGATGAACACATCTAATTTCCTCTAGCACATCACAAAACCATAGTGATTGCTGCAAATGACCATCAACCTCAATTGAATCAACTACATATTCCAATTTATATGCTGCACCTATGACGCGTTCCTCTACATCCTTTAATTCTGCCAGCTGGACATCTGAATCCTTTACTTTCTCGAGGAAAGATTTTAAAGACTCCAAACGCAACAGAACTTCCTCAAAATGATGTTTGGCTGGGGTAATGGACTCAAGATCACGTTTCAGGAGTTCACATAAGTTTCTGCATAGATAATTGAGGAACCCCACTCCATAGGTTTTGGGGAATATGCACTTAGGAAACTGCTGACTTATTTCCCGGAGCGTACTCTTGATGATGTTCATCTTATCCATCAACTGAGGCAATGAGAGGACCATTTTCTCCAGTTTCATGTTGGAAGGGAGATACGTGTAGGAGAGAAGTGTTATCCCCCTAGCAAAAGCTTCAAGTTGTATCATGAATGATTCTTCAACTAATGAGTTCCTTGGCAGCTTAGTTTCTACAATCCTTTTGAGATATATAAGCTCCTCAACAAGACATTGAAGTTGATCCCTTCTATGAGCTATGGTAGTGTCATTACTCTTCAATAACTCCGTTAAATATAACTCAGCCTTAAAAAAGATTATTCTAAAAAGCCACTGCAGAAGTGAGTGTTTTACCGAAGGACTAGGTAATTTCTTGGAATGAAGTTGCTCCTGAAAGAGTTCTACTTCATGCGCGAGTTCTTCAGTGAGTACCAAACTCTGCTTCACAAACTCCGTGTTACTTTGTTGACACAGATCTTTGCTATATCCTGTCAAGTCGGTAAGGATCATATCTAACTTGAAAAATATGTCATCACTAAAAAGCATGCGAATCTTGAGTTGCTCTTTGAGAAAAAAACTCTAACTTGAGGAGTAAAATTTTTGTTAGAACCTCAGAATCAGGTGGCCGATCTTGTGGTACCATTCGATTATAAAAGGTTGCCTCTGCTAGCAATGCCCTAATCTCCGCAAAGAAATGGTCCACATCCTCCTCGCCGTCCTCTATTGTACTGTTAAAGGAAAGGGTAACCAGGTTGACCAGCTCCTTCATAAGATCCTCATTAGCAAGTGAATTGAGAAGATAGCGGCAAAACAGAATAACCGAGGCAGACCCATCCTCTTCACTTATGTTAGAGTTGAATTTATAAAGAGACCCTTGGAATCTAAGGTACCACTGTACAAACTCAGGATTTGCAAGGGAGATCTGGTGATGCAAATCTACAAGTTCACTTACTAAGCCTTTTGCTGTCTGAGGGTCATTTCTATTGAACCAGAAATTACAACACTGGATAGCAATCCTCAAAACCACAGATGCAACATGAGTGAGAAAAGCATCAACTCCATGATCATCACGGACATGAGAGGTAAGATTTCCCAGTATATAATCATGCCTACCCAAATAGCCACGAATAGATTTCAGCTCACTGTGGAGGAAACGTAGCTTTTTGAAAAGAACACTATCACCCGCTTCATCTTCGAATGACCACCACAGATTCTCTTCTACAAACGGGGAAAACCATTTGTCATCCTTGAATGACCACCACAGATTGAATTCTACAGCAGGGAAAAATGATTTCCAAAAGTAAGAGTCAGGAGAACGTGCATGAAATTCTAATTTTGACAGATCCTTTAGAGCTTCTCGAATGTCCACCTCGACAAGCACATCAGTCTTTCTCTGGCAGTCGCAGAGCAAACTGAGTATTTCTTGAGGCTTTTTCAGGTAGTACTTCTTATATTGATCAAGGCAGAAACTAGTATAACAGAAAATCTCATGTGCCAAGCGATCAATTTTCTCGATGACAGAAATTACATTCTGCATCGACACAGGTGCATCACTGCTGTAAACGGATTTCACTAGCATTTTCAGGAAAATCCAATCCTGATGGATTTGATTGACATTTTCAGTGAGAGAACGAGATAACTGATCATAATTATAGGTGGGCTCAAACAACCGACGAGCTCGATGCATAAGCCTTCCTGATTTTTTCTTCTCAATGTATTTGTTCCACAGAGAAACCAACAAGTTGAGATTGTGAATAACCCCATCCATATTCGTAGGGAAACCAGAATCCATCCCATATGACAAGATAATCCACAGCACTTGCTTCCAGATTCCTACGGAGAAAATTAAGTGAACAGTTAACTAAGGAAGAGGTAGACAGCACAGAAATTCTAATGAACTCGTTCACCCTAGATTGCAGTCAAGGATACTAAGAAAATACTCCCGCATCCCAAAATAATGGACTGGCAGTCAAGGATACTAAAGAAACTACTCTCACGTCCCAAAATAATTGTCCAGTCTGTTGTACTAAAACAAACATGACAATCATTTTGGGACGGAGGAAGTATCGAAATTCTCTAAAGCATATTTCCTTTGTCCTATTATGCATGATGAAAATAAGAAATCAAAATATGCACATTTGGAAATGTCCCAATCTACATAGATAAACAGGGTGAAGTATAAAGTATTACCTGAAAGGGGTCAAATCACGAGCAGTTTCTTTCACATTGATTACATATATTTTTTTCAAAATTCACCACATTTTACTCCCTGCACAAGTTAGTGCTTCTCCAAGAACTTTGTAAATGTGGGTTAGGCATTCTGCTTCTGCAATTCATAAATAGTATGGTGGAGACAAAAATTCAAACCACTTATTTATTGGTAAAGAGCCTTAAAATTCATCTGTTGAGCTGCATCACAATCGAAAGTGACAGATAATGATTAGCAGCCCATCTTATGAATGCTACAGCAAGCTACCTAATCAACTTCAATTTAATAAGGACATTGAAAACTTGAAGGGAAAATGATAAAGCAATATTTTTGAGAGCAGTAAATATCAAGTTTGTTTCTGTCAACTCTATGTTTCTTGTAAATCTGCCTCTTCAAACTACCATTATATTCTACAAGAAACAGAAAATCTTTAAGCAATTGAACCATAAGCTGCGCAAAATTGATGAACCATTCAGTAAATTTCACATCCAAAGTTGCTGGAAATCAATCAAATTTCATTGTTGCGGACGAAAATCGGATTTAGCCAGCGAACCCAAATGTCTATGTGCATAACAAATCTTTCAATCCCTACCTTCAAGTAACCATTTTATGCTTTTTTTTTTCACTCAATCATACTAAATTCTCAGGATTTTGTAATAGAAACAGAACTTACTGTTCTTAGCTGGAATTTCCCAACCCTTCTTCCAACCACTTCTCTCTTTCCTTTGTTCCTTGATCACTTCCCATTTTGAGCTCCTCTACTGCCCTGTTACTCGAGGCCTCCAATTTTACTATCGGTTAGCATCATCCTCCATTCCTTCTTCTGTTCTTCAGCTAATTCTGTAGCAAGGAAAATGGACTTGCTTTTGGTGCGTTCTAGCTTTAGAAATCTGGGAAAAGTAAAAACCTTAAAAAGTATGAAAGATAACAAGGTGGTGGTGATGTGACGATAGTTGTTAAAGGAAACTTTATGCCATTCTTGTCCTTTCTTTCTTTCTAAAAGAAATTCATTTGATAATTTCGAAAAGTAGATTGGCCACAATTGACTGGAATGCATGCACATTCAAACTTTTTGAATTTAGAATCTCCGCTCATTTTACATTTTAACTCATTTTAGCTCTTAAACACAAAATCCAATAGAAAAGAAAACATCATACAAACAACTTTCTGATTTACATTTTAAATTCCAACTTGAAACACTTTTTGCTAGTGTGATGACCATTTTAGAACTACAAATAGTTCAGTGACAAATTTGGCAAGATTCCGTTGTTAAGTGATTGTTTTTTGAAAAGTTCTTTTTTGCGGTGACTATAATTGACGGTGTTTAATTGTTTAGTGATGACTCGTACTTGATATTTTCAAAATGTAGTTCAAAATATTTTTTTAAAAACCAACATCCAAACAAATTTTTGCTCAAAATACTATCCAAACAACAATTTCATTTCTCATTTAGTTTTCAACTTGAAACACTTTCCACTTTTAAGTGGCAAAACGAAATGTAAGATGATCTCCAAACAAGCACTAAATGTTTTATCATTGTGGTTTTGTTACTAAAAGCCAATAGTAATTGAATCAAAATTTCGTGTGACAGAATGGTTGCAACTTTCATTTTTGGGGCGGGAGGGGGGGGGGGAGAGTAATGTTTTGGAATAACAACAAACATACAATAGTGAAGGGGAGAAATCTGTTCTAGTTGAAATACAAGGCATTAAATTAAAGCACCGACAGACAAATACTCTCTCCAGACCGAAATTATTGTACCGTTTGAGTTTTATTGCGCAGTTTGGGACGGAAAGAGTATAAAAGTATCTACTGCTTCACCCTTCGTAGTCTGCTATTCTTCTTTATCTGACACTACCCAATGCTTACTATATCCACCTCCTTGGCGACTCAAATTGAGACGCAGAGATCTCCATAGAATTCTCTCTCTCTAGTGCACATATTCTTCAGTTGCCACTCTTCTATATTATCACTGGAGATGAGCTCTTCCAACCCAGTCTTGTTTATGTGGTAAACACTGACAAAATCACCACATTCAAAAGCTCCATATGCAGCATAGCATATTGCAGATTTTGCCAACTGTGTAGCTTCGATCACAAGCATGTCATGAGACAACTTGCCTCTCAGATAACGATTAGTATGAGCTGCACCAGATTCAGTGGTACATATTATTTTAGCTTCGGCTGCCTCCCTAGAAAAGTTCTTATTTTCCTTGCACTCTCCGCGAGCGTTTATATGAAATAGTACACTCCCCGTTTCATCCCAACCCCACAATATGTAAGGCACTGATGCGCGAGTCAGCTTCTTTGATGCAACAGAGACAGAAATTCTACCCCCTGTCTTGATTTTGTAATCCTCACACTCCTTTTGCTAGCTTTTGAGCAGGAATTCATCCCCTCGAGAGATTGTGGCGATCATGTATGAATTAAGTTTAATAATGCCAGGAACAGTAGAATTTGATGTGTGATCAGCAGTTATCATAACTCCATCACTTGAAAAAAAAGCTAAAGTTGTGGACCCCCTTTCTATCTTAGGGTACAAGCCATCAACATCATCATGGACCACATGCATTGGTGGAGGCCCAAAGTGTCTGCGGCCGAAGAGATCCTCAATATGCCTTAGATAAATGTTTTTCAGAGCATTTTCATTTACTCCAGTACTAGTGTGCCAACTAAGAAATTGACAAACGTCCAGCAGATCAATAGTTTCAGATCCACTCGCCTTTCCAGGATTTCGGGGAAGGGTTGTGATCCTGGAGAGACGATATCCATTGTTTTTGACTCCTTTTCAAGCATTTTAGAAAAGGGTTGCGATCCTAGAGAGACAACATCCATTGTTTTCGACTCCTTTTCAAGCATTTTAGAGAAGGGATCCCATTCAGGGGAGCCCATATCCATTATTTTCGGCTCCATTTCAAGAATTTCAGAGAAGGGATCCCAATCAAGGGAGGCCATATCCTTCTCTGGCTCTTTCTTGTAGATTTCAAGGAACAGCTCCCGTCCTGGGGAAACTCTATCCATTGTTTCCGACTCCTTTCTACTGATTTCAGAGAAGGGTTACCATCCAGAAGGGGAGAAGATAACCATTGTGTTCGTTGAGTTTGTTTTGCAGATTTCAAAGGGCTGCCATCCAGCGGAGATATCCACTGTCTTTGTCTCCTTCAGGTCATGCAAAACAAACAACAAACACATCAGAAACATAGTTTGCTTTATCTTAAGTGGATAACTTGTCCTAAATATTCTGCCTCGTAGGATAAGATTAAATTCAGTAGCTAAAAGCATACAACCTGAAGGAATTACAGTCTGATGATCAGCTAGAATCAAAGCAGGATCAGCAACATGATGTGCATTCTATGACTGGTGATACTCATCCTGTGTCGATGGATGTGCATCCAGTGCAGGATCAGCAGCATGATGTGCATTCTGTGACTGGTGATGTGCATCCAGTGATAATAGCGGAAATTCTAGATTCAAACATTCAAACTTGTACATGAGTTTGTACTGATATATCCTGTTTTATATAGTGTTATAAGCATGTTAGTAAGGATAGATTAGTCATTTACAATATGGTGGTTACTCAACTCAAACCACCTTAGCATGTATAAATACAGAACATGACACTTAATGGGATATGTTTTCAGATACATTAAAGTTATTACAGAATTAATTGTGATTTCTCCTTTCTCTCTCTTCGTAACCCTAATTCTGCCATTATTCAGAGCTTGAACTCGCTCATGGTATTAGAGCTGGAGTAATCCGGCCTGACCTGAGTATAGAATTTTCTTCCTTACTTCTTCCGCTGCAAAACCGTACCATTTGATTCCAAGAATGGAGTCGTTTGGAGCAGATTTGAATCGCGACACAGAGCTTCAAGCAGGTGAGCTTCAAGAAGGAATTGGTCGTACTAGAATTGAAGAATTGGATCAAGAAATCACCAGGGAGCGAAATCTTGATCGTGACATGGAGTTATTCATAGAAGAATAAATGCAGATACATGGATCAGATAATCCAGGCATGTTCTTGGTGAGTACTCCTTTGACAACCACAAATTACTTGATGTGGCAAATTGCTATGATTACAGCTTTGAATGCAAAGTTGAAATTAGGTTTTATTGATGGAACCTGTAAGAGACCGCCGTTGAATTTTGTTGCATACCTTTGGTGGTCTAGAGCAAATAGCATGGTTACTTCATGGATTTTGAATGCTATTGATAGCTCTCAAGTTAGCAGTTTCATGTATATTAAAGATGCAAAACAACTGTGGGATACTATAGCAGTTCGGTATGGAAAAATTAATGGTTCATTGGTCTATCAATTGAGAAGAGATTTAGCTCTTATAAATCAGGGAGATATGAACATCATTGAGTACTATAACAAGATCAACAAGTTATGGGATGAATATGATCAATGGAGACAACCTGTTAGTTGTGTTTGTGAAGGAAAGCAGCACTTTGAGTGTAGAGATGCAGAGGGTAAGTGTTATCAGTTAATTATGGGTCTGAATGAATGCTATGACTCTTTGAGAAATGAAATTCTTCGCATGAATCCTCTACCTGATGTGGATACAATATATGTAATGCTGCTTAAGGAAGAAACACAAAGGAAAGTCAGTACGAATCTGATGGTTAAGCCTGAGAATGTTGCTTTGTTCTCAAAGCCCTATGCAACACCTAGTCATCAGGGAGGTCTATTGCAATCTTATGGCACACCTGGTGGCTATCAGGGAGGATCTATGCCTAATTCATCCGGATCACAAGCACAGACAGGTCAGTCATCCAAGCAAATTATGACTAAGAAAATGAAAATGTTAGCCAAGAAGGAGAGGATGAAGCTTTTCTGTACACATTGCAAGAAACCTGGTCACTTAAAGGAAGACTGCTTTCTGATAAAAGGATTTCCAGACTGGTGGGGAACTCAGAAAGGACCAAACCGCGCCAATGCACATTCAGCAAATGTGGTTTATACACCACTTGAATCAGAAAATCCTAAATCAGCTAGTAACTCTTGGCAAATTCAAAAACCTGAGATCACACAGAACTGGTTGGTATCTTTCACTGCTAGAGGAATTCAGATGTCAGAATATGGGAAAGGGAATTGGCAGAATCTGCTTTCAAGTCTGATGCAAGTAGAGGTTGGCAAACTTTTGAAGGGCAAAGGATCAACAGGAGAAGCAGGAAGTGGATTCTTTGTCAACTATGCCCACTTCAATGACTTCTCAAGTAGTTCTGTTGCTCTTTACCTTAGTTCAAATGTGATTGGTTTGAGTAGTTTAGTGTGGGTTACAGATACAGGAGCCACAAGTCATATGTGTTGTTCTATCCAAGCCCTTACTAACATTCAATCAGTTAGTTCTTATACTCTTGTGTTCTTACCTGATGGTAGTGTTAAAGCAGTAGAAGACATAGGAGATGTCATACTTTCTGGTAACATTACTCTTAAATCCGTGCTACATGTTCCCACCTTTCAACATAATCTTCTTTCAGTTAGAAAATTATCCCAAACAGGAACCTATTTCCAGTTCTTTGATGATTTCTGCTTGTTGCAGGACCTAAGGACTAACAAGGTTCTTAGAGCAGGCACAATTATCAAAGAACTATACATTCTTACACCATACTCTTTCACTGAAGAAGTTATTCAAAAATCCCAAATAATGTACTCAAAGCTTGTTCTGTTAGCTTCTAGAACAGTTAATCAGTTTACTTGTAATCCTGTTTTACATTCTGAAAATAAGATTAGTGTCAATGTAAGTGTTGTTACTTGGCATAATTGTCTAGGACATCCATCAGATAGTGTAATGAAACACATTCATCCTTGTCATCAAACTTTTACTGATCAGGATTTGAAGCAAGATGTATGTGAAATTTGTCCTTTATCTAAACAACACAGGAACTCATTTCCCATTAGCAATATTCAAACTGCTAGAATCTTTGAAATGATTCATGTTGATTTATGGGGACCATATAGAAAACCTTCCCTTACCCATGCACGTTTTTCCTTGACCATAGTTGATGATTCTACTTTACAACAGTTTTTCAATCTTGTTCAAACTCAGTTTCAACAGTCCATTAAAATACTTAGATATGATAATGGGACAGAGTTTTTGAGTCTTGAAACTCAGAAACTACTCTCTAATCTTTGCATTATTCACCAGAGATCTTGTCCTTATACACCACAACAGAATGGTGTGGTGGAAAGGAAAGATAAACATCTTCTGCAAGTAGCAAGAGCTTTGCTTTTTCAATCTTTCCTTCCAAAAATATTTTGGGGAGAAGCCATTTTATCAACCACATATCTCATCAATCGTTTACCATCTTCAGTCCTTCATTGGAAAATATCTTATGAACTTCTTTATCATAAATCTCCTAATCTTACACACCTCAGAATTTTTGGTTGCTTGGCCTTCATAATTAGTAATGACCCTAGGAAAGACAAATTTGATACTAGATCCATCAAAGGCATCTTTGTTGGTTATCCTTCAGGCCAAAAGGGCTACAAGATTTATAGTCCTAGTCATAGAAAGGTCTTTACTTCCAGAGATGTCATATTTCATGAACAAGTTTTGATCTGGTTCTTCCACATATTGTTCCAGATCATGATGTATCCTCAGATGTTTTACCTTCCATTTCTTCATCTAATTTTTTTTTTCTTTCGAACACAATATTTCTTCCACTGATCATACTTATGATAGTCCATCTCCAACTCCTACTCTATCTCCTGAACAAAACACATCTTCTCCACCACCTTTCTCTTCTGATCCTTTATCTTCAACTTCTCCTTTTATACCAAGGCGAAGTACAAGGGATAAGAGACCTTCTGTCTTATTGAAAGACTTTGTTCAACCCCAAAAGAAACTCCCATTACCCAGTTCTTCTTGTCAGTTTTCTTCAACACGTGGCTTTTTTGGCAAATGTTTCTGATCTACATGAACCTCAGACCTATAATCAAGCTAGAACTAATGATAAATGGGTATCTGCAATGGACCAAGAATTACAAGCCCTTGAGAAAAACCAAACCTGAGAACTCACTTCTCTTCCTGCTGGAAAGAAAGCCATAGGTTGTAAATGGGTGTATAAGATCAAATGCAATTCTGATGGTTCTATTGAGAGATATAAAGCAAGGTTGGTAGCAAAGGGCTATAATCAGATTGAGTGTGAGGATTTCTTTGAGGTTTTCTCTCCTGTGGCCAAGACAGTTACTGTAAGGTTGTTTTTGACTTTAGCAGTTGTGTCCAAATGGAAAGTTTATCAACTAGATATTAATAATGCATTTTTGCATGGTGATCTAGAGGAGGATGTTTATATGCAGCCACCTCCAGGTTATTCTACAGTTGTACCAGGTCTGGTTTGCAAGCTCAGGAAGTCCTTGTATGGCCTTAAACAGGCTTCAAGGCAATGGAACAACAAATTTACTACCTTATTGCTGAATTATGGTTTTCATCAGTCTTGCCATGATTCATGTTTGTTCATTCTCCATAAGCAGGGTTTAATGATTATCCTCTTGGTTTATATTGATGATGCAATCATTACTGGTTCTGATGATTGTGAAATCAACAAGGTTAAGAAGCTTTTGGATGACACTTTTACCATCAAGGACTTAGGCCCAGCTAAGTATTTCCTTGGAATGCATATAGCCAGGAGTGACAGTGGGATGTATTTGAGCCAAACCAAATACATCAAAAATCTTCTTAGAGATACTGGAATGCTGGATGCAACTCCTACCTCCACTCCATTTCCTTGTGATCTCAAGTTTCAGAAGAAGGATCCAACTCCTCTTTGTGCAGATGGATCAGCTTACAGGAGCATTAGTAGGCCGACTTTTATACCTGGGATTCTCTAGGCCAGACTTGACTTATGCAGTTCAGCAACTTAGTCAATTTGTTCATCAGCCTCATGAGTCGCATTGGAATGCTGCCATGCATCTCTTAAAATATCTCAATGTCTCAGCAACTCAGGGCTTATTCTATTCTTCAGCTTCTGGACTTGACCTTACAGCATATTCAGATGCTTACTGGGGTTCCTATCAATTCTATAGACATTCCCTGACAGGTTATTGCATCTTTATGGGATCTTGTCTTATCTCTTGGAAGACAAAGAAGCAGGCAACTATTTCTACTTCATTTGCTGAAGCAGAATATAGGGCAATGGCCGCCACTGTTCAGGAGTTAAAATGGCTTTCTTACATCATGAAGGATCTGTCTATATCACCCTCTCTTCATGTTCCTTTTTTATGTGACAGTAAAGCAGCCCTCAACATTACTGCTAATCCTGTCTTCCACGAGAGAACAAAACACATTGAGATAGATTGTCATGTTGTGCGAGACTCTTACAAAGCTGGATTCATTTTGCCTGCTCATATCTCCTCTTCTGAGCAGTTGACTGACTTTTTTACTAAGTCTCTTTCTGCATCTGCCTTTTATCATCTATTGAGATGAGCCTTTGGCATACCACCACGGCTCCTCTTAAGGGGGTGTGAAGGAATTATAGTCTGATGATCAGCTAGAATCAAAACAGGATCAGCAGCATGATGTACATTCTGTGACTGGTGATACTCATCCTGTGTCAATGGATGTGCATCCAGTGCAGGATCAACAGCATGATGTGCATTCTGTGACTGGTGATGTGCATCCAGTGATCATAGCAAAAATTCCAGATTCAAACATTCTAACTTGTACATGTGTTTTGTACATGTGTTTGTACTGATATATCCTCTTTTATATAGTGTTATAAGCCTGTTAATAAGGATAGATTAGTCATTTACAATATGGTGGTTACTCTCAAACCGCCTTAGCATGTATAAATACAGAATCATGACACTTAATGGGATATGTTTTCAGATACATTAAAATCATTACAGAATTAATTGCGATTTCTTCTTTCTCTCTCTCTGTAACCCTAATTCTGCCATTATTCAGAGCTTGAACTCTCTCACAACCATTCAGAATTTTAGTAATAACTGAAAAGCAGAAAGAGCCCAACTTATAGGAGATGATACCCATTGTTTTAGACTCCTTCAATTCGAGCAAACAAGCAATGCATCAGAAACATGGATGGAGTTTACAAATATGGATTATGATCCTACTTGGAATCCAATTATTAAGCGAAAAACAAAATGGCCAAAACATGAAGAAGAAAAAGCAATGACGATTACCCCCGGCGCAGATCTTAGGAGAGGTCCCCAGCCTTCCCGGTTCACGAGAAATTACCATTGCTTTCCCCCTTGAAATGGAGCAAACCAAACAAAAATCAGTAATAATTATTTGTTAAATAAACTAGGAAACTGAATAGTCAAACCAGTAATAATTCAACAATGAGAGAAAGAAATTGAAATAACCTTTTTGACGATTTCATGTAAAGAAGTCGGTGCGTGGATGTTCTCACACCTTCGATCCGTAAGTAACCAAACTCTGATTTAGATTATACGTATGGATTCTAGACTGAAAATCCTCTAGAATTCGACCTGCTAAAGTAGCCCTAATTCGAGGCCAATTGAATCCTAACGAGAAATACTTCTTCAAAAATGATGTTTCCTTTGAATTTTTATTTTTAGTTCAAATTGAACAGTAAAAGTAAAAATCTAACTAGATAATTTTTTTTTTTTTGTTTGAAATGTAAAGTATTTTAGGAGGTAAGAAACTCACCCTCAAAATTTCGCCGCACTCATCAAAATGGCGGCAACAGGCAAGTCTTCTCATTTGTAATGAACCATACTGATGAGTCTCCGGCAAAACGTGGATGCGACGAAGCAATGGAGAAGAAACGGTATGGCAGGAATTCTTGGGAGGTTTAGTCTGATTTGATTAATTTGTAGTTTTGATACAAATTGATTATGCTTTAATTTGGTTTTATGATTTATAGTACTACTCTTTTGTTACCAAATTAGTGTGATGATTATTGGATGCAAATTGCCATGTAAGAATCAGTCAATCACCACTTTAGAACAATATTTGAATCGTATTTTAGTGTGTATTTTTAGTTATTTTTTCAATTAAGAATGTAAAAAATGCATTAAAAATGTAAAAATGCATGCTGAATGGGATAATCATTGATATTTAATTATGAAAAGAGCCAGTGAAGAACAAACCAAACAGAGTTGAATATTCTACTCTCTCTCCAGCTCAAAGTGAAACCGCATGACACTTATTTTGGGACGGAATTTTATAACCTTTGATGTGAATCAAATATACATGTATTTATGTACGATTTTAGACATTTTTCACTCCTATTTGGGACTCATCCAGATGATTTTAATTATAATAAGAGCACAATTCTTATTTACTTGTGGTTCATCATTGTAGAGTGGATAAATAGCGTGAAAATAGAGAAAAGCAATCAGAAGTGCCTATAATGCACTAGTTGGAACAATAACTAGCAGTCAATTTCCAGAGACCATAACTTGAGATCTGTTGCTCAGAATTGAAAGTTATTGATGTCTTTACGAAGCCCTAAACGTGATCTACAACTATTGTTAAGAAATATTCTACAGATTCTAGCATTGCAATGGTCAAAACTCCAGTTGAATTTTACTGGTCAGAACTATCCAAAAAATATACAAAAACTTTAGCAAGAAGCAGCCAATTTCAGAGGCTCTTACTTGATATTTGTAGCTCCGATTTGGAAGTTCTTTATACCGTTCATCCGAAGAGGAAAGATAGAGCTACAGATGTCACGAAGACCAATTCTCCCAATTCAGATGATACAATGGTCAAAAATGCATATGAAGTTCAGTTACCAATTCTGCTCAGAAAATATGCAGATTTTCTGGAAACCTCATCCCCTTGTCAGAGGACATAACTCTCAATCCACAACTCCCATTTTAGTGTTCAAGATATCATTTTGAAGCTAAAATAAAAATCTATAAATTTTGTGAAGAAAGAAGTTCCAAATTCAGACTCTATGCAGGGTAAAAAGGCAAAGGAATTGCTTACTCAGACTGGAAATGAGGGATTTTCAACAAGCACTTTGGATGCAGCACTATAGCTCCTTGAATTCGATCTGGAAACTCAAATCACAACCCGAAAAATTCCATTTTAGTTACAGAGGAGATCTTGGGGAGCATTTTGGTATAATTTTTGTCTGTTTTCATGAAGAAACGACCGAGGATTGATCGAAAACGGCGACTAGATTCCGATGGTGCCGGCGACTTCAAACGGGGAAGATGAAAGAATTTTCAAACATTTGCAAACTTAATCCCCAACGCAAGCTTATTTTCTTCGTGGCTCTTAAGCTTTCAAAAGCTACAAAGCTGGTTCAAATGCAGTCCAAGAGTTCAATATATTTCTATTTTGACTCTAGTTCCTAGGATTTCTTCTTTGTAGAAAGTTCAATTCGGCCCTAGTATTCTTGTCACTTATCCTTTGCTGATGTTCTTACTTTTGGTAATTGCAATGGTCATGGCAGTGATGACGATTTCTGTTGCTTACGCTTTATCGATAACGATTATAGCACCGTTAGCGAGAGGGCATCTGAGTCTAGTCAAGGAGACTGCAATCATTGCAGTCATGGTATGGTGTTTTCCGTTGCTCTCTTTTATACTTAGAGCAATCACAATGGTTGTGTAGTATCTTACACTACACCACCTTTTTAGTGGGCTAGTCATTGTAGTGGGTGTAAAGAAGCTACACCGGATAGTGCAGACAAACTCCAAAAAGTGGTCAAGTTTTATGACAGATGGTCCCATAGTACAAGAAGGTTTTTTTTTAAAAAATAAATACATGAAATAAAAGAGCCTTGTGCTGGAATGAAAAAACAAAAAGGCAACATAGGACCCATTTTTGATTGGTTCAACCGTTGAAGAAAAATAATGGATGAGGATATAGTGTAATGAACCAATGACGTGGCACTGAGAGATTCTTTATTTTGGTTCAACCATTGACGTTGCTCTTAGTAATGCTGATAGCGGTTCTGTCACGTCGTGAGTTATGGTTGGTGTAGTTGATATATTAGAGAAAAGGTTGCAACAGGTAATGCGACTGTAATCAAAATTGAGCAAAAGTCAATTAGCACACAAAGTCTTTATATGTTTCAATTAATCACCCCACACTGTTTAAGAGTCACTTTTCTGTTCCGACATTAAGTTTGCCAATTTATTTCATATGTTGCAGTTTTCCTATGTTCAAAAAAAAAAAAATGTATCATTTGATTTGAGTTTATTCAGTGTGAATGAGATTGACGATGCTTGGTTACACGCCGCCGGTCTAACGGTGGAACTCTGGCTAGGGTTTCCTGCAAAAAAGGGCCTCGGGGTCTCCCGAGGGTAGACACTCTGATGCTTAAGTTAGTAAAGGGCTGCTGGAAGGTTTAGGTATGTAGTATGTTAAGCTGTAGATTGTGTACCTGTATTGGTGTGTGAGCTACCCTATTTATAGGTATGAGAATACCTGAACAATCCATGAATCCTATTAGGTTTTGGGAACCTAAACCGCCCCAAGAGTCCCGGTTGGACTCTCTCTATGGTTGATGGGCCGGTCCAGTCTCGGTGATGGATATGGACTCGCCAAGTGCCCCTGCTAAGTGTTAGTTGCATAAAGATAAACAACTCTTGGCACCAAGTAAGTGTTACCTGGGTCATCGAGCGATACGTTGAGCGGCCTCGATGCAAACACATAACTCTTGATCTTGGAAGCCCGAGGGTAACTAGCGGGTTAGACCTTGACTCGGGAAGGCAATCCGTTTCTTAATCCCGCCCAAAATTTCAACCGCGCGTTATTAGTGGGCACGTTCCCCAAACGGCGGCCTTACCATCATTACTTCCTTGAAATTCGCATTAACCGTCATATCGTGGGCTGTAATTAGGGAAACGTGGGAGAATAAATTTTATTTTTAAGGAGAAGGCTCTACCATTCTCCTGTCACTTAATTACTTTTCCTTCTTCGCAGAAACTTCAAAACTCTCCTCTCTGTCAGAGCGTTCCAACAGGCATCGCTGGAATATTCAAGCCTCCACCTACATACTGTTCCCTCGAAGGAGAGGCAATAATCTTGCCCCCTCAACTGTTCAAGGGAGGGCCATCCGTGGCAGTGCATACTTTCAGCAACCCGCCGACGATCGAGTGTCTTGTCCTCGAAGAGTTCACTGCTCAGCTGAACGAGGCTGACAGCCTGAGATTGGTAAGGGAGTTCTAGCTGTTTTGAGTGTTTATTGCAAACCAATACTCCCCTAGTATATTACTAATGTGTATTGCCGATGTAGATAAGCGCGGCATCAATGGCCTACTTGGTGCAGCTGAGGAAACTGCGAGAGGACCTGGCCATGGCCCAATCTGAATGAGATGAGGCTTTGTTCGAGGTGGTGACCCTCGAGGAAAAGGCCCGTGGTCCAAGTGAAGGTAGCTAAGATCACCTTGGTTCAAGCTAAGTACGATGAACTGGACGAGAAGATGAAGTCCTTTGCCAGTTTGCACATCTCGAAAGAGGAATTGCACCAGTGGTGCACTGCATTCATGTATAAGATGCTGTCCACAGGAGGGATGGCTGCAGCACTCGAGGAGATGAACTTGGTTGCCACCAAGTGCGGAGCGCACCGGGTTGGCGTAGTAGGTTTGAGGGGCTCGACCAGGACAGGCCGATCAAAGCCAAATGGCTCAAGTAGCTCCTGATAAAGGACCCGAAGAAAACAATGCACGAAGCCATGGTAAAGGTCTTAACAAAGTTGAGCCTCGAGCAGCTACCCCTGTGGGAAGCTCTGTCTGGTGCCCTGGCGAAAATGAGTTCCCCGGCGGACATTGCCTCATTTCCTGGCGACGTTCCTGCTATCCTAGCCAAGGGTCCAAGTGAGAAAGATCCCATACCTGATGTACCAGACGAGTACATGGGTATCGAGCTCGAGGATGCCGACGAAGCCACTGAGGAGGACGTTGCTGATACTGGCCATTCTGGAGTCCAGAGAACTATCGAGGATGCCTCCCAGGACCCCTCCAAGGACCCCCCTCCAGGGAGTGATGCTGTATGAATCCTGCCCTTTGTAATAGCTGTTAGGCCATTTAAACTACCATTTTCTTTTGTAATGAACTGATTACTGCATTTCTTCTTTTTGTGCACTTATACAAGCATCCCTTCCCCTTCTTTTCTTTGTCTTCTTTTCTTCTTTTTCTCTTTTTTTTTGTTTGGTTTGATGTGAACATCTTACACTCCTCTTGTGAAGCAGGATAGTTGGTCCGTCAACCGTGTTCACCTCATGGTGCTATCGGAGGAGCAATCGAGCGAATTCCCGCTACATTCTATGACTAGCGGAATTCTAAGAAGCCGTGTCGATGTGCACAGCATCGAGACAGTGGCAAACTTAGAGAATGACCTTCTCGATGCGATGAGGACGCACAATGTAAAGGTTAATCAGCATCTGATAAATGAGATTAAAGGACTTCGCGAGGAGATGCAGCGTCGAGAAGTTCAAAGTCTGAAAGACTATAGTGATTCTTTGACTTTCGAGGCCAAGATCCATGATGAGCTGGTTACCTTGGAGAAGGAAAATGCTCGGCTGAGAGCAAGACAGCAGATTACCGTGCCTCCCTGGTTCCTTGAGAAGCATCAAGTGCTAGCCCGAGTCCAGAACTCGCCGCTTTATTGCGGCTCTGGATATACTGAAAGAGAAGGCTCGTGGGATCAAGCTTCTTACAAATTATATTGCCAAACTACAAAATCTAACTACTGGACAACAACATTGACTTCGAGGCTTTTGAGCGTCCGGAGGAAATAGTGAATCCTCGAACTCGGAGTTCTCAAGAAGAGCTGTTGATGAGGGTGCACGCTCAGGACCTAGAGATCGTGGACCTTAAGGATAAGCTGAATCAATGTGTAAATCTCCTTAGCCTGCATGGGTATAAGGGGATTATTCATCCCTCCTCCGACAATCCTGTCAAGGAGGTCCTTGTAATAGTGTAGGAAAATATGTATATTTTTTGCAAGTTCGCACAGTAGTGTGGAACAAATTATTTTTTATTTTACTCGAGTATTGATTTATAAAGCGCTTTTTAGGCCGGATATGAAGTACACGGCTCTAAATTGGGTACGAATTCCCCGATTTCATACTGCTTTTTGCAGTGTGTATGAGGAGAATTCCTCGAGTTCGTGTCCGGATGTTGAGTACACGGCTCTTTAACGATGATGGCCCTGAAGAGGGTGTCCATCTCGATGACTAGTCAGGAGTATAATGTCGTTAATGAAAAGAATACGTAATGTCTTTTATTGAATAATTACCTGAGGACCCGGGTTAGCATTACATATGAGAGGATAAACTGATGGGATAAATAAAGCAAATAAAACACACAATAGGTAAATAGTGGGCAAAGACTCAAACATAGAACTTGCAAAGATTCTGAATATTTCACCATCGAGGGAGAATAGTCCCGCTATCATCCATGGCCTGTAAGCGGTAGCTGCCTGCTGGGAAGCCTGGATAACCTTGTAGGGCCCTTCCTAATTTGCTGTGAGTTTTCCAGGAGTTTCTGCTCGACTGGCCTCGTTTTTCCTTAGCACGAGATCGCCCACAGCGAGATCCGTGGCTTTCACCTTCTTGTTGTAATGTCTGTGCAGAATCTCTTTATACTTTCCTTCTCGGATTCTGACAGCGTCTCGCTGTTCTTCGAGCAGGTCAAGATTTAGCTGGATGTCATCATCGTTGGTACTCTCGACGAAGTTTATGGTCCTAGGACTCGACAAGCCTATTTCAACGGGGAGGACGACATCCATGTTATAGACTAAGTTATACGGTGTTTCATCTGTCGAGGAGTGGGTAGTGGTACGGTATGACCATAGGACGTAGGGAAGCTCGTCGGCCCATGCCCCCTTGGCATCATACAACCTGGTCTTGATCCCATGTAAGATGGTTCTGTTGATGGATTCGGCTTGACTGTTAGCTTGGGGATGAGCCACGCTTGAGAAGCGACGCTCGATTTGCATTTCGTCGCACCATGACTTGAAAGGATTGCTCTCGAATTGGGTCCCATTGTCGGAGACGATAACCTTTGGGATTCCAAAACGGCATACAATGTTCTGCCAGAAAAAATCCAAGACTTTCCTCCCTGTGATCGAGGCCAGGGTTTTAGCTTCTACCCACTTAGTGAAGTAATCTACCGCTACGATAACCCATCTTACTCCTCCTACCCCTTTCGGATGAAAGGGACCGATGATGTCAATGCCCCATTGGTAGAATGGCCAAGGGCTTTGGATGGTGACCATCTCGTGCTGTGGCTGTCGAGTGATGGGAGAGAAGCGTTGACACTTTTCACATTTCTCTACCCACTGGTAGGCGTCCTCGATAACTTTCGGCCAGAAATATCCTGCGCACAAGACTTTCTTGGCGAGTGTCCTTGCCCCCATATGAGCTCCGCACGATCCCTCGTGTATTTCTTTGAGTACATAAACTGCCTGCTTTGGCCAATGCACCTTAGCATGGGTAGTAGGTACCCATGCTTGTATAGGATGCCGTCTCGTAATGTGTCTTTGACAGCCTTCAATCGGAGGGCTCTGGCTTCTGTTTTTCCGTTTGGCAGCGTCCCATCTATAAGGTATTGGATAAACGGGGTCATCCAAGTGCTGTCATCCTCGGCGATGGTCATTACAGGGGCTTCCTGGATGCTAGGATTGGGGAGAATCTCAACCCATACTTTGTGGCTGAGGTGTGCAAAATTCGAGGAGGCCAACTTGCTGAGGGCGTCGGCCCTCTTATTTTTCGACCAGACTATGTGAGACACAGTGCATTCCTCGAACTTGTTCTTGATGTCGAGGACTTTCTCGAGATAGCGCTTGAGTTGCTCGTCGTTTGCTGTGTATTCTCCCAATATTTGTTTCACCACTACCTGAGAATCACCACTTCCTGAGAATCACTAAAAACTTAGATTTTGCGGACTTCGAGCTTTAGTGCCATGTTCAGTCCTACTATCAGTGCCTCGTATTCTGGTACATTGTTGGTGACTGAGAAACCGAACCTTAGTGTGTATGTATATTCCACGTCATATTCCATCATGCTTTCGATGTTGGGATCAGCTGGGGGTTTGGATAATATGATACCGGCTCCTCCCCCTTCATCGCAACGAGAGCCGTCAACGTATAGTGACCAGGGTTGATGTTGACGCGAGTAGTGGGATCATCTTTAGGCTCTGTCGTGTTCTTGACGTCGATAGCTCGAGGCATTTCTACCAGGAAATCTGCAAAGGCTTGTCCTTTGATTGCTGATCGAGGTTTGTATTCAATATGGTGCTCGCCCAATTCGACTGTCCATTTCATCATCCTGCCGGAGGCCTTTGGCTTGAGTAGGACTTGCTAAATTGGTTGTTCTGTTAGAACCATGATGGGGTGTGCTTGAAAGTATGGGCGCAGACGTCGGGCAGCCAAGACTAGGCTAAGGATAAGCCTTTCCATGGGTATATAGCGGGTTTTCGCTCCTTGCAAGACTTTGCTAACAAAATAGACGGGGATTTCTCTGCTTTCTTTGTGCTGTACGAGCACGGCCGAGATGGCTTTCTCTCGAGCTGCCAGGTAAATATATAGTGTTTCTCCTGGCTCAAGCTTAGCTAATGTGGGCAACTGCTTGAGTGCTCCTTCAGATCTTGGAAGACTTTCTGGCATTCTCCATTCCACTTGAATTTTCTGCCTTTGCGGAGGGTATGGAAGAATGGAAGGCTTCTCTTCGCGGCTCGAGACAAAAATCTGTTTAAAGCTGCCAAGGAGCCTGTGAGCTTTTGAACTTCTTTGACGGTTTTTGGTGCTTCCATGGCTAAGATGGCCTCGATTTTGGCTGGATCAACACTTATTCCATCCTTAGAGACTTGGTATCCTAGGAATTTTCCTGACCCCACACAGAAGGTGCATTTTTTAGGATTCAGCTTCATGTTAATTTTGCGTAAGATTGTGAAAATCTCCCGCATATCTGCCGCTACTTATCCTTGTTGGATAAAAAAACGATTGTGCATTTTTTGGATCAACACTTACTTATCCTTGTTGGTCTTTATCACCATATCGTCCACGTAGATCTCGATGTTCCGGCCAATTTGGTCATGAAAGGTTCTGTTCACAAGACGTTGGTACGTGGCCCCTACATTTTTCAGTCCAAAGGGCATCTTATCGTAGCAATAAACCCCTATTTTGGTGATATAAGCCGTCTTCTCCGCATATTCCCGTGCCATGAGGATTTGATGATATCCCTTGTACACGTCGAGAAAACTGAGGATTCTGTATCCGGCGATACCTTCTACCATCTGATCTATGACTGGTAAGGGGTAACAGTCTTTAGGGCAATGCTTGTTGAGGTCAGTGTAGTCTTAGCACATGCCCCAAGAATTATCGGGTTTGTGCATCAAGACCGGGTTGGCTAACCAAGTAGGTCACAGAACTTCTCAGAGTATGTTGGCACGGACTAGCTTCATTGTTTCTTCATTGATGACATCATTACGTTCACGAGCAAATACTCTTTTTTTCTGCTGCACCGTTTGACACTGGGGTCAACATTTAGCTTATGTTCCATAACTTCTCGAGGAACTCTTGTCATGTCCGCTGGAGACCAGGCGAATATATCGCGGAACTCGCATAGCAGGATACTAATCTCGGCTAGTAATGGGTCTCGGAGAGAAATACCAATTTGAACGGTCTTGGCTGGGTCAGCCTCGCTCAGGATCAACTCTCGCGTCTTGCTGCTGAACGAGGGAAGGTTGGAGGTCTCGGGATCTTCCGCCTCTGGTGGGTTGGACGCTTGTCGAATCGAGTAACACTCCTACACGGCGGCGCCCGGGTTAAGGTATGCGGTCTTCTTTTCGATTCTGACTGCTGTGAGCAAGTACTCTCGAGAGCTAAGCTGGCACCCTTTTCCTACTCCAACTCCATACTCGGTCAGGAATTTCATTACCAAGTGATAGGGAGACCAGATTGCGCGTGCTTGGCACATCCAGGGTCGCCCTAAGATCACGTTGAACGGCGAGGGTGCATCTATTAGAGTGAAATCCATGTTTAAGGTGACTGTTCTAGGATGTGACCCTACCAAGATGGGGAGGCTAGTTATTCCTGTGGGGATAATAGTATGGCCTGAGAATCCCATCAAGGGCATTGTGGCTGGGCGGATGCAAGGGTTCTTGATATTCATTTTCTTGAAGCAATCACTGTATATGATGTCGACCGCGCTGCCATTATCCACATAAACCCTTCCGACTTTTACATTCGCAATTATTGCCTCAATGACCATAGCGTCGTTGTGAGGGCAGATGTCTGGGACGACATCGCTGTCTGTGAATACGATGGCCTCCGTCCCCTTGAACCTCTTGTGGCTGGGCTCTTGTCGAGGAGTTTTGGTGACGGTCCGCAATGAGTTCTTCATGGCCGTGGCAGATAAGACCTCGAGGGGAGCTCCGTAAATAGCTCCTACCTGGTGAGTGATTAGTTTCGTTGGATCCGCTGGGGGGAGTTGCTGGAGTGGCTGCGGTACAGCTTCGGTAACGCGATAAGGTTGTTGGGTATTGGCTCTCGGTTGCCAACTGTTTCCCCGGCCGTCTCTGCGTGGCGGGCCCCTGAAGTTTCTTTTAGGGTGATCTCGCGACGGGGGTCTGTTATTCTTCTGTTGAGAGGCTGCTCCTTGCACGTACTGCTGGAACTTGCCAGATTTGACCCCGTTTTCGATTTCCCTCTTAAGCTCTCGGAAATCCTCCGTGTCGTGGCCGTGATTTTTGTGGTACTCACAATATTGTTCTGTTGACCTGTTTGGTTTAGGTGCCAGAGGTTTCGGGGCTGGTAACTCGTCCCTATGGATTTGGAGGATTTCTCGTCGCGGCTTAGTTAAGGGTGTTAATTGCCTATCCATCTTGGGGAGTCCCGGTTTATTTTCTAGGGAGATTTTTGGCTTATCCCTTACTCCTACCGAAGCGAAAGATTCCTGGGACCTCTTGAGCGTGTGTTCTCGTTGTATATGGTTATCGACGATGGCCCACATGTCTTGAGCATTCTTGGGGGGCTTGGTCGAGAGCTTAACTCGCAACATTGAGGATTTTCCGCAGGGGTTAAGGCCTTTGATGAATCCATTGCGGACATCCCGATCATCGATGTTGTCGACCTGCAAGGTTTCTTGTATGAACTGTCTGTGGAAAACGGTCAGACTCTCATGCTGCCCTTGTCTAATCGAGGAGAGGTCAATGGACATCCGCGATATTCGTTTACTCTGAAAGAATCGGGTAGCTAGTTTGACGGACAAATCCTCAAAACTAGTTATACTCCCCTCTGGTAATTGCCCAAACCATCGCTGTGCTGATCTGACCAAGTAGGAAGGTAGCGCCTTGGCCATGAAGTTCATGTTTGCGTTTCGAATTCTCATGACCTGAACATATCCTTGCAGCCATTGGGAGACATCGGTATCTCCTCATATGGTTTAAATTCCTTAGGGAAGTCAAAGTCTCGGGACTTAGGTTCGTCTCGAATGTCCGGGATGAAGGGACTTCGGTCTAGCCCTACCCCGATGATCTTCCTCATTTCCTCCCGAATCAAGACGTTCTGGTCTCTTGCTCCCTACTGATCTCCCTGGAAGTATGGCGAATTTTCTCTATGCCTGTTATATTGCTGATATCTGGGAGGTGAGTATCGAGGACGGTGATGGTATCCTTGGTTATAGTTGTCCTCGATGTTGTTGTGGCCTTGGTGTGGTTCGTAGCCAGATATGTATTCACCTCTTCGAGGGCTTCTTTGATTCCAACGAGATTCCAGGCGGTTATGTCCATTAGTTCGCCTTGGGGGGTTCCCCTGGTCTCCTTTGATGATCCCGACACTCGGGGGATTGTGGTGCTCTCGAGTGTTCCTATTTCGATACACCGTGTCAAATTCCTCGAGGGCCGTATCAAAGGCTGGGTATCTTTCTCTGAAAGCATTCCAGAATATGGTATCTCGGGTAGCATTCGAACGTTCCTCATGGGGGTTTTCATACCCCTCGACTTCTTGGTAATTTTTGTTCTCTTGGACTTTCCGCTTCCCCCGCTTCTTCTCGAGAAGGGCTAGGGTTCTACGAGCTTTTTTTTCGTCAATCAAATCCTCCAACTCTTGTTCTGTGGGATCGGGTTGTCCAAGGAGACAACACCGCGCGATTTCTTCAAGGACATATCTCCGCATTCTCTGTTGCTGATCGCTATCATCTCCTAACTTCTTGAGTTCAGCCTCAATCTTGGCTAGTTTCTTATCCTCCAAACGCTTCGTGGCAGCAGGGGTATTTCGAGGAGAAGGTATACCCTCTATCTCAGGTGGAAGATTAGTTTTGCCTTGTTTTGTCGGATCAGGTTGAGAAGCGCCAAGGACCAAGCGCTCTTTTGCTGGTTCTTTTTCAGGTTCTCCGCCATGGCTCTTTCCGGTCTTCTTCTTTTCTTGACGGCGCTGGAATTCGGCCAGGGGGGTGTTGTCCTCTAGACTATGCCGTTGGCCGGAAGATGCCGTGCTACCGGTGTCTTCTTCGACTCTAACCATCGTATCGATTGTTCCTGCAACCCTAACTTTTACCGGGAGATGTTAAGGAAACCTGAGACGGTTTTTTGTGACACAAACCTTAGTTTTCGGGTCCCACCGGGTGTGCCACTTGATGATACTTGGTTACACACCGCCGGTCTAATAGTGGAACTCCGGCTAGGATTTCCGGCAAAACAGGGCCTCGGGGTCTACCGAAGGTAGACACTCCGATGCTTAAGTCAGTAAAAGACTGCTGGAAGGTTTAGGTATGTAGTATGTTAAACTGTAGATTGCGTACCTGTATTAGTGTGTGAGCTACCCTATTTATAGGTATGAGAATACCTGAACAATCCCTGAATCCTATTAAGTTTCGGGAACCTAAACCGCCCCAAGAGTCCCGGTTGGACTCTCTCTATGGTTGATGGACCGGTCCAGTCTCGGTGATGGATATGGACTCGCCAGAGATCAAGAAAAATAGTAGGGTGAATCTATTTGTGGCGTTGGTGATATTTCTTATGGTTGTTAAATTAGGAAGAAGAAAAACTAATCCTGAACTCTGATCAATGCAATTCAGAAATCTGTTGGAGATAAACCATTGTTTGAATCTGAATCTCAACAAGTACTTGTAATCCCAAATTCAACTCTGTTGCCAGTCTTCAAATCAGACAATAAAGTCTAGGTGACCTGAATCAATCGACCTTTCTTGAGACCACAAACTTGGGTTTCTCTGACAAACAGCAAGTTCATGAAACCAATTGGATATGCCAGATTAGATCAAGTTCGCCATATTACAAGTTTGCCTAACTGGAATTCCTCTAATCTGCAAAATTCTACAAAATTAATAAGAAAAACTCTTCATTATCCATAATTTTAGTGAACTACTAACTAAAATATGAAAGTTCACATTCCATTCACTTTATTTCATTAATGTTAGTTCAAGCTAATTTGCATGAAAACATAACTATGAAATAAATATGAATACGAGCTCTATAAATCTCTACATCTAGAAACTATTTGATTAATTTTGCATTTGCTGAACAAACTTCATAGAAAACAAAAATGATTCCTGAATCTTTCAAACTCTACATGGAAAAAACAAAAAAGAAAGACAAAAAGAACAAAGGAGTTATAACAAAATGTTTGTGTTCATATCAATAGGGTTCCTCTGTGATGAAGAAAAGACAAAAAGAAACATGATATAGATCAATACTTCCTGAGAACAAGGTCAAGTACACCACCACGGACAAATTAATACATGAAAAAGGCTAAAAGTGTACTAATGTTCAACTATACTTCTATAATATCGACCATAAGATCGCCAACAAGATTAGGGAGTCGGTCATTTTACAGTTCAAAACAAAACTCCAGTGATGAAATAAATACATCGCAAGTCTTCTACTGCAAATTTCAATCATAAAAATGCAAATATGTTTAATTCCGAATAGAACAACTACTTTACAGACGTAGTAATTGGAGTAAGAATGATTTGCTGTATTCCTCCGGTTCGTCACAGTAAACCGAAGCCGAGGTTAAGAATTTCGGAAACGTAGCCAATGATATGGGAAAAATTTCTGGAATCTGTATTATTTAATACCCTAAATATAGGAATAAAGTAAACCAGACACCAAAATTGTCTAAACACTTAAATGCTGACCAAATAAAAAACACTCGGTTTATCATAAATGCTGACACAATATATAACAAGAATTCAAAGCTTCATTCAAACTGAAACAACTGAAAATGTTTTACTGAGAACTTGCTGCAATAGGTTTCAACAACTTATTTCCCCTTGTTCTTCACAGTTACAGAGCTTTCGTAACACAAATCTTCTGGCCATCGCTTTATTTAATAAATCTCTGGAACCAGGTTTTGAACAAGTCAAATGATTGAGAAGATGCAGATGCAGTTTTGTTCTTCAGTTCACAGCATCACCAGCATTCCGGAAGCTGCAAAAATGTGATGGAAGAAAATATGATCACAAAAGTACCCTAGAGAACAAAGGTAATTCAAGAGTCAGGACTATTTTCTTGGGTTGGCACAGAAAGACTACTTACTTGTATGCAACAAACAGCCACAGAATTTTTAGGGAAAAATAAGTTACAATGAACTTCTGGTTTGACACTATTCCATTTTTCTTGGAATACTTTTGTAGGAGTATAACTGAGTGTCACTTCCTCCATCCCAAAATTATTTACGTGGTACACATGACAATCATTTTGGGACCGAGGGAATATTATGCATCCCTTATTTTAAACCTTCACCAAACTACCAGGAGCTGAACTTATAGACATGTAGTTTCTTGAGCTGTTTTAGTTTCTTGAGATAGGTTGCCAACTGACCGGATGCAAAATAAAGACTAGAAAGCTAAACTTGGGAGGAAAAAATACCACTCTACATTTTGGATGAAATAGGAGGAAAGTCTTATTCCAGGCTAATTTCATTTAATGTAAATAGTCGGTCCAATAAATAATTCAGATGAAATGTACCGTCTTATGCCACAAATGCATTGAAAGGAAAAGGAATTGCAGAACATGTGACAAACCTACTTTCAGGGACTGCACGAGGATCACCAAGAGGGCTCATGAGTGCTATTCAAGTAAGGTCGTAGGCTCATGAGTGCTGATCTCAACTTTGATATCCGGCATTTCATCGCCAATTTCTTTAGCTGACTTTTCCAGAGATGGTCCGCACCAGTGAACTTCAACCTTTTGCATTGTAGTAATGTAGGCAAAGTCGAGTGGAATCCTCTCCAAACCCTTGCAGTTGCATAACACAAGCTGTCTTAACAGGGGAAGGTGATCAGATTCGGCATCCCAGTAGACAATGTCCATGGTGTCTAACTCCAAATACTCTAGTTTCTCAAATTCCTCTTCCCTCATGTCCCATCTCTGCCCCTCAAAGGCTCCAGCACGCAGTTTCAGAACTTTGAGAGTCCATAGGTTCCCGATCACCTTGAGATGATTCTCTTGTATACGGAAGTTTGATAGAGTCAGTTTCTTGAGGCTTAGTGGTAGGAGAAAATCCCGAGAATTTGGAGTTCCACCAAAGCAAATTATCTTTAGTGACTCCAAAAAAAATAAGTAGTCCCATCTTATGAACTCACTGCATTCTTCCGAGCGGTCGTCCCCTAAATCCCAGAATATGCACCTCAACTTGCGGAGGTTAGGCATCCACCTCAATATCCTCCATCTATCATTCTTGCAAGACAGTGATGGGGTGGAAAAGCTGACTAAACTTTCCAAATGAGAAGAATTCTCAACATCCTGATCGAGCCCTTCCAAGTCGAAAAGGACGTGATTATTGACATGAAGATACCTCAACCGTACCATGCTGCAAATAGTTTTCGGCAACATGACCTTCCGCAATCCCTTCACAACCAAGGTTTCAAGTTTCCACAAGTTGGATATTGATGATGGAACAGATTTCATGTAACCACTGACAGCTAAATATCTCAGTTGAATCATTTGTCCTATTTCAACGGGAAAATCGATTGCCATGATAGACTCCAAGTCCAAAATCCGAAGAAACTTAAAGTTTTTGCATATAAAAGAGATGTCATAAGGACATTTTGGCTCCGAATCAGAAGATGCAAAAAATATCAAGGACCGAGCAACTGAGCCGGAAGGTTGGGAATCAACGAAATGTGGTCGTTTCACACCAAAGCTCAATCTGTAGCTACTGAATATTGAAGGAGTTATAGCATTGTCACTTCCGTACTCCATATCATAATCGAAATCAGGGAATGATGCATAGGGCTCATCATGCTTGGTCACCAGTTGTTGGAACTTTTCTTCCTCTGCTTTCATCTGACTCAGATCCCGCAAAAGATCATGAAGACGGCATGTTTTGATCTTCCCATTGGATCTTGCTTTATGGATGTTCACCAGGTTGCTATTAATCAGCTGCATCAGATAATCCTCCGCAACCTCCTCCATGCTCCTTGTCTCGGTTTCTTGTATGAACCCTTCAGCCATCCAAAAACGTAACAACTTGGTAACAGGAATATCTTTGTCCTCAAGGAAAGTTCCCAAATAAATAAAGCATGCTTTTAGGTACTCAGGCAAGTACTTATAGCTGAGTTCTAAAATTTCCTTGCAGCCATTTTCGGGATTTCCAATTATCTCTGAGCTTAAGCTTTTCGAGACTTTAATCCATGAATCCTTGTTGGTCTCTAGGTTTTTGAGGAGACCAGCTATTATGACAATTGCAAGTGGTAATCCTTGACAGCTTTTAGCTATTTCCTTTCCAACTTCCAACAATTCCTCTGGGCAATTAGCACCTTCAAATAACTTTTTCTCTAGCAATTTCCAACTTTCACCATCTGACAGTAGACGAATACGATGCAGACTGTCAGCTTTGATTCTTGAGGCCACATCCTGGCTACGACTGGTTATGAGAATTCTACTTCCATTGCCATTATCCGGGAAACATAATTCCAAGTCATTCCAGGCTGCAGTGTCCCATATGTCATCCAATACAATCAAATACCTGTTTCCCAACAAGTAACGACGTAATTTTGACAAGAGGTCGTTGTCAGTCATTTTGGTCATGTCATCAGTAACCACATCAATGTGACTTAATAAATCAAGCAATAACTCTGTTTTCGAGTATGTTTGTGACACGGTACACCATGCACGCCGATGGAAATGGTACAAAACATTCATAGTGTTGAATACTTTTCTAGCGAGAGTGGTCTTACCACTGCCTGGCATGCCAACAATAGAAACAACACCCCGTATCAAGGACCCTCTGGTGAGGCGATCAATGATTTTACTTTCTTCATCAAGAAGATCAACCAGAGTTTCATTCATTTTTGGTGTAGTACCTCTTGATATCTTCTCGGATGAAATCTGTGGGACTCTGACAGCATTCAACATGTCATGGAAGTCGAGGACCCGTTGGTTAGCGAGTTTAATATCCTCTAGTGCATCATAAAACCACAGAGATTGCTGCAACTGGCCATCCATTTCAATTGACTCAACAACATACTCCAATTTATATGCTGCATTTAAGATGTCATTCTCCAGATCCTTTAATTCTCTCAGCTCCACTTTCGAAACCATCCCTTGATACAGGAAAGATTTCAATGGCTCTAGATGGGACAGAACATCAATCAAATGATGTTTGACTGGTTTAATTGACTCAGGATCACGCTGCAGAAGACACGTCATGTTCCTGTGTAAGTAATCCAGGAAACCTAGTCCATAGGTCTTGGGGCATATGTTCTTTGGATATTGCTGACTTATCTCCCTGAGTTTAGCCTTAATGATATTCATATTATCCACCAACTGAGGCAATGAACCGACCAATTTTTCGAATTTATTGCTGTCAGGGAGACAAGAGTAAGAGAGCAATGTTATTTCCCTAGCAAAGGCCTCCATTTTTATGATGACTATTTCTTCATCTGATGAGTTCCATGGCAGCTTGGTTTCCACAATTCTTTTGAAATATGTGAGCTCCTCAACAAGGGATTGAAATTGATCCATTGTACGAGCTGTGAAGGTGTCATTACTATTCAATAACTCGGCTAGAAATGACTCTGCCTTGAAAAAGACGAACCTGAAAAGCCACAGTAGAAGGGTATGCTTTACCAAAGTGTTGGTTATCCTCCTGAAATGATGTGAGTTCTGAAGGGATTTGATCTCACTTGCCAAGTCTTCAACTAGTACCAAGTTCTGCTGTACGTATCCAGGATTCCCCTCCTGAAATAGATTCCTTTGAAATGATCGCAAGTCTGTGATGATCATATCAACTTTGAAAAAATGGTTATCACTAAATAGCATCGCAGGAGTGCTGGTGTTGAGTTGTTCTTTGAGAAAAAGCTCTGCCTTTAGAAGACAAAGTTTTGTTAGTAACTGCGAAAAGGCTGCAGGGTCTGCAGGGTCTTGTCGGTGGGAGAAGGCTGCCTCTGCCAGTGCTGCCTTAATTTCTGCAAAGAAATTGTGCATACCTTCATCACGGTCCTCCAGAGTCTTGTTGATGAAAAGGGTAACCAGAGACACTAGCTCCTTTTTAAGATCTTCGTTATCGACCCGAGTGAGAAGATAGCTGCAAAAGTGACCAATTGAAGGTGACTCAACCGGCGCAGTTCTTCTGGAGTTGATCTTGTAGAGAGACTCTAGGAATCTGAGATTCAACTCTAGGAACTCTGGATTTGTAGGATCAATCTCCTGATGCAAATTGACTAGTCCAGCAAGGATAGCATCAGCAATTTCAGGATCATTTGTATTAAGCCTGAAATTGCAGGTCTGAAATGAAATCCTCAGAATCACAGATGCAAGGTGAGTAAGAAAAGCATCAACTCCATGATCTCTACGGACATCAGAGTTAAGACCAACTAGTATAGAATCCAGGTAGTTGAAGATATGCAGCAGCTCATCATGGAGAGAATATAACTCTCTGTGACGAGCACCATCACCCACTCCCGCGAATAATCGTGTCAAATTCTCTTCCACATAATCGAAAAAGGCTTTGAAAAACTCTAAATCAGGAGAAGATGCATGAATGGTTGATGTTGACAAATCCCTCAGAGCTTTTTGTGAAGCCTCAGAAAGCTCATCAGTCTTTCTTTGGCAGTTTCCGAGCACACAGAGGAATTCATGAGGCCTTTGCAGGACGCGTTGAGTTGCCCACGAACGGACATCCCTCTGAATCTCTTGCGCCACACAAACAAATCTGTCAATGGTGACTGACATTTCAGTCTGCATGAATTCAGCTGCATCCCTTCTGAATGATATGGATTTGAGAAACATTTCCAGGGAAAACCAGTCCTCATTGAGTTGCTCCAGGTTTTCAACGAAAGAACTCGATAACTGAGGAACTCCTTCCCCATGTCCTCTTAATCTTTCCTTCTCGACATGCATTCTCCAATCTCGAAGCAACCTTTCGACATACTGATGAAGGCACCTAGTCTCTCTAGCCAAACGTGGATCCATCTCCATATCTCAAGTGTTTTTGTCAGGGCTTGCTCCCGGATTTTCTATGGAGAAATGAAAGTCAAAAGTTAAGTTAGAAAGAGCATAATAGTTTTCGAAAACCAAAAAGAAAAACTAAGAAAGAGCAAAAACAAACGTGCTTGCATAGTATCTAAACTTGGATGAACTTAGGTTATCGCTTCATCCAAGAGTTAATAAACTTTGTTTACGGCAATTTATTTTCCCTGTTATCATTCATGACAAAACAACGCAAGGCAAAAAGAGCTAATATGAATTGCTATGTGGAATTTTTCAAACTGTTCGAGATATTTTGTTGGCATATATTGTCAAGTAAAAAGTTTTGAGCAACTTGTTAAACTGGTTTGGATCTTCTGTTTTGTGTTATTCTAGTGTAACTATGAGGAATTTGGCCAATGGAGGACACAAAGAGTGAGTTTAAGTGTTTGTAACGTTTTTCAGTGTTTTTTATGGAAATGTAAAAATATATATATTGAAGATGTAAAAATATATATTGTCAAAAGATATCTTTTTTGTTTAATACTCCCTCCTGTTCTTATTATAAGACATTTTGATTTGTTCTAACTTTCACTTAGTATATTTTTTTAATTAAAAAAAATAAAAATGCATGAATAAGGATAAAACAATAAATATAAAAATGAATTTTTAATATTTTTTTCAATTTAAAAAAACACATTAGATAAAATTTAGGACAAATTAAAATGACTTATAATAAGAATTGGAGGGAGTACGTACACAGATTTAACAATGTTACAAATTTGGGCCCGAAGAACACCCAAAATCTAAATATAGATTCCAACAAAATAGGTTGAACATGGAAGGTTCAAACTTTTATCTAATTCTTACAATTCTCACCCAACTTCCTCACCCCACTATTAATTTCTTTCAACATTATACATTATTGTTGAACGCTAAATTCACACATTGCTTTTTGTAAGATACTATGAGCACACTTCAAAACATACACTGTGAAGATAATATGAGCACATAGTTGAGCAGCAAAGTGAATCTACATTCTGCAAACCGTATAGGAAAGCAAACCGATCACCTAATTGGAATTACTGGTTTGATCGATGCAACTGGTTCGGTTGGTATTCAATACCAGTAAAAACTGGTTAAGCATTCAAAACTTATTTTTTTTTTCAAAATTTAAAAGAAAAAATTTGGACAAAGGGCAGTGGAGACTAAGTAATAATAAATTGGACAATATTTTTGAATAATTTATATTAAGGGCATAATTAACAATTCAACCATACAAACATGACTTTAAGTTTTAACTATTGAATAAACACCTATTTACATCAATTTAAATATTTTGAGAGTTCATTTAGTTTAGTTTTTCGGTTAGCCTGATTAATATAATAATACTAAAGTGGCCAATGACCAAAAAGCTAAAGATACAAAATTTTTTATATTATTAAATTTAATATTTTGACTAATACAAAATATGGGATTAATTTAATTAACTCTAATAAAAAATGTTGTATGGCACGTTTAAAGTACTAGTTGGGAGGGGGTGGTGGGAATCGGCTAATATGAAAGTTAAAAAAAAAAATTTACTTTAAAAAACTAACATTATACAGAAAAGAAAAAAATCTCCTATCAACAATTAAGAATTACTAACATTTATTTTTATAGTCAACGTAATTATATTTTTCTCATCATTTAATACATTACTTTTTCCATATTGATACTAAAATATTATCATCACTAAAAGATTTAATATGTGTTGAAAAATCAAATGAAAAAATAACATGATTTTATTTCAAGAGTTAGAGTCATGTTTGTGTTATTTAATTATTATGCCCCTAATACAAATTATTCAAGAATATTGCCCTCTTTGTTAATTATTTACTCTCAGTTACCCCTAATTCAAATTTTACTTATTACATAGTTTTAACGGGATTTGACTGAATCTGACCGAATCTTTATTTAACTGATTATAGAAATCGAATAGGTCTCCGATTCCTGGTCAAACCAGTTCGACCGCCGAACCGTTTTTGGTTTCAAAAAATAGGATTAAAGTATACTAGATGGATTATACGCACTTTGCGTGTACGTATAATAATATAATATAAATTATATAAAAGAATAAAATTTATTAGTTAAAAAATATCAGTTACATTATTATTTACCAAATATTAATGATTTAACAAATTTATCGATAATAATATGATCATTATAAGAACAAAATAAAATAGCTAAAGCACGTTTTCTATACATGTATTTACCTTATCTCAACGATGACACGAGCAAACAGATTTGAATTGAGTCTGGATTAAACTGGTCAAACTCGAAGCTTGATATATAAGCTTTCAAGAATGGTCGTTGGGATTAAAATTGGAGTGCTGCATTTTAATTTATGAGGTTCAATAAAAATGGTAAGATAATCATATTAACAAAATCTTTTGGAGGTAAAATGCCGAATAATCTAAGTTTTATGAACAGTCCATTATTAAGGACATATGAAGTAGTAAAAGATGAAGATTAATTTGATCAATCCACTTAATCAAAAAGAGTGACGATACAAAATTTTGACAAAGAAATTTACAAAGAATAATGTGTCTGAATCTTAACTATTACTTAATTCTTAAACGATAAATGCCTACAAGTAATGTATAAGTATGGATGACTTATGATTCATTTTTTAATAAAATCCTCTGTTAATTTTTCCTGCACAAATCATTGCCCAATCAAAAAATATAAGTAGATTTATGTGCCCTCTTGTAAGAGATGATAATTATTATATTTACAATTGTAATTAATCAGTTTAACTATCTTGTTTAAATACAGCGATTATAAGGATATAAAACTCTTTTAAGAATCAATAATGAAAGAAATAATATCTCTCAAATTTAAAATTCTAGCACTCACATAGTATCTATTATTTTTCAAAAAAAAAAAACAAACTTTTGTGGCATCCAAGTTCTAACCGATAATTTAATGAAAGTTTCTTCTTCTTCTTCTTTTGGTTACTAACTAAACTAAGGCTCTTCTTTCCTTTTTTTTTTTTTCTTTAAAAGAATTAAAAAAATAAAAAACAAAGCAAATCCAATAAACTCCTCATCTGCCCCTGATGGAATAGATTCTTGAATCTTTATAAAACATCCACTAAAAACATTATCACCAGGACACGACCGATTTCCTACATCATACGCTGACCAACAAAACATCCACTAAAATCAATCCTTGTTTCATTCTCGAGAACTGTAACCAATTTGAGAACCAACACAACATAATTGTAATGAGGCAAAAAAGCAAAAGAATATCATATATAGCTGGATGACGAGAACACATACTCCTTCCGTCCCATAATTATTATCCAGTTTATATTTTCATTTTTATTTTAAGTTATACTAAAAATGAAATCTCAAACTCGACAATAATTTTAGGACAGAGGGAGTATAACTTATATAGGGAATCCGAGAAGATCAGTACAAATTATACGAGAAGATATACAACTTTTACCTTGTTAAAGAGAACTATGACGAGATTCTCTTTCCCAGTCTTCTTCAAGGGGAACTCCAAAAGAAGACTTAGAATTCCTACCAATCTTTTTTCTCTATTTATTTTTTCCTTTTTCTTTGTGCTTTTGTAGGGATTAATGAGAAGAAAATTGAATTCTGCAAAAAAAGATATTAAATGCGAATGGGCGAGAGTAGTGAAAGTGGGAAGAAAATTAGTAGACATGTTTTGGTTCTTAGAACTTGAAACAAATGGGTGTATGCAAATGAACCTAAACAAACTAGATAGCTTAAGTAATTAATGGTCATTTAATGAGAATGAAACAAATGATGAATGGGTGGTCACAGGTGATTTTAACTGTGTCCTAAGACAAGATGAAAAGGTTGGAGAGCTTCCAGTAAGTGCAGCTGAGGTAGGAGAGTTTCAAATGGTCATTGATGATTGCCAGCTATGGCAACTCAATACAACTGGAGGGAAATACACTTGGAGTAATAAACAAGTGGGGATCACCCGAATTAGTGCCAACTTGGACAGGGTGTTGGTTAACAGCAATTGGTTACAACGCTTTGAAGAAAGCTTTGCCAGAAGGCATTTCTGATCACTGTCCACTTCTCATTTAGTGGTCATATCAGGAATGTCCAAACAGAAAGTATTTTCGGTTCTTCAACAGGTGGACTGAGGATGAGATGTATCAGGCCCTGGTCGTAGAAGCATGGCAACATACAGTACTAGGGACCAAGCAATTCCAACTAGTCATAAAGCAGAAGAAGTTGAAACCAATATTAAGGCAGCTGAATAAGGAGAAGTTTGCTAACATTGATCTTCAAGCTCAGGAATGGCAACAGAAAATGGTACAGCTTCAGCAGGAATTGCAAGCAAAACCAGAGGATGAAACATTGCAGGCCCAAGAACGAAATGCAGTACAGAAAATGAGCAGTAAAGCTATCAGTTTCTGGCAGCAGAAGACTAAAGAGCTATGGATTCAACAGGGGGATATGAATACTGCCTATTTTCATGCTGCCATAAAACAGAAGAAAAAAAGGAATTGAATCTTTTCCTATACTAATGAAGATGATGTGATGGTGGATGAATGGGCCGCAGTGGAGGAGCATTTCGTGAATTTCTATAAATAGCTGTTAGGCAAAGAGGTTCCAAGGACTAAAGTTCAGCATGAAATATGTGGAACAGGACCTACGCTTTCAGCTGAGTAGCAGTTTGAGCTTGTGGAAGATATAACCAGAGAAGAAATTAAAAAGGCAATGTTTTCTATTGGGAAAAACAAAAGCCTGGTCCAGATGGCTTTACTAGTGGATTTTATCAGAGAACCTGGAGTGCAATAGGGGGAGACGTAACTGATGCTATCCTGGAGTTCTTTCAGATTGGTAAAATGCTCAAAGAGATGAATGCTACTGCGATTGCATTGGTGCCGAAAAATGACTCTCCTCAGACAGCAGCGGAATACAGGCTCATCGCCTGTTGTAATACACTTTATAAGTGTATTACAAAAATTCCGAGTAACAGGTTAGCTAATTTTTTGCCTTATCTGGTGCAGCAGAATCAAAGTGCTTTCATCAAGGATAGGTTGATAGTTCATAATATACTATTAACACAAGAGATGATCAAACTGTATAATCGGAAAAATGCTTGACCTTGATGTATGCTGAAAGTTGATCTCCAAAACACGTATGATTCTGTTTCTTGGTCATTTCATTGAGGAAGTTCTATATTTTTATAAATTTCCTCAAAAGTTTACTAGATGGATTCTGGAGTGTATTACGAACTCCAGCTACTCTGTTTAAATGGAGGCTTGACAGGTTATTTTGAAGGTCGTCGGGGTATTAGGGAAGGGGACCCTATTTTCCCTTTGCTTTTTGTTTTGTGTATAGAATATTTGAGTTGGCTCTTCAAGTATGAGGTCCTGCAGGGAGGATTCCACTTTCATCCTAAATGTAAGAAGCAACTGATTACAAATCTTTGTTTCGCGGATGATCTAATCATCTTATGCAGCGCTGACAGGAAACAGTCACAAGGGTGAAGAAGGTTCTGGACCAATTTATAGCTACCTCTGTTTTACAAGCTAACGTGCTGAAATCACAGGTTTTTGTGGTGGAATCGATGAGGAGACAAAAGAGCAGATACAGCAAATCCTAGGATTCAGCAGAGGAATCTTTCCAATGAAGTACCTGGTGTGCCCTCTCCAACTCGATGGACAGGCCTGGACTGCAAAGTACTGTCCGAGAAAATCACCTCAAGGATCAAATGTTGGTCAACGAGGCATCTTTCGTATGCTGCCAGAGTGACGTTGGTAAACTCTGTACTTCTTTCAGTTTATCCTTATTGGGCTTCTGTATTCTGGTTACCTAAGAGCATCATTGTTCAGATACTAGAATTTGTAGAGATTTTCTTTGGGGTAAAAAAGAAAATGGTAGATCTTATGTTTTAGTGGCTTGGGATGAGTTATGTAATCCGAAAAAATTTGGCGGTTTGAACATAAAAGAACCTGTAATCTAGAACAAAGCCTCCTTAGGTAGGCAGATTTGGGCCTTATCAGTCAAGAAGGATAATATGTGGGTGAAGTGGTGTCACGAATTTTATTTCAAAGGGCAGTCTATATGGGAATACAAACCTTCTCAGTCTGATAGTTGGGCATGGAAGAAGTTGATGAAGATAAAGGATATTCTGAAACCTGGTTTTCAAGGAGGAAAATGGATGGCTAGTAAAACTGGAATGTATAGTACTATTTCAGGCTATGATTGGCTTAGGGGAGAAGGAACAGGTTTACAGCTAAGCTTTCTTGGAACAAGTACAATGTTCCTAAACATAGCTTCATTGTTTGGCTGGATATGAAAACAAGGTTATTGACTTCGGACAGAATGTAGAAGCTTAATTTCATCATGCAACCATTGAAGTGCAGGCTGTGTGATGATGAAGATGAAAGTCGGGATCATCTATTCTTTCAGTGTTTATATGCAAAACAGATTCTACAGCAAATCAGTAATTGGTTGGAATGCAGAAATATCACTGAGTAGAGTTTATGGGAGAAGAAGCACATGGGAGTATGGTTCCAGAGCAAAGGTAAGCAAAGGATTTTGTTTGGTACATTGGCTTCAATCGTTTACCATGTGTGGCAGCAAGGGAATGCAGCAGTGTATGACTGTAATCCCGAGAAACCTGAACTGGTTGTATATAGGATAAAGCAGGAAGTCTTGTACAGGGTACGATCATATTGTAAAAAGTTTAGGCCAAGTGAGTGTACTTATGTGGCTAAACTTGAAAGATGAGGATGAGTCGAGGGACTTGATGTAATAGAGATTAGTTTGTAAACAGTTCTTTGTTGTGACAAGTTAATATCATTAACCTTTCACCAAAAAAAAAAAAAAAAGATGATATTGATATTTCGTAGTAATTAATTATTATTTTTGTGAAGTAAATTAATATACAAATAAAGTAATTAAGATAAATAAATTATTATTTAAAAAATTATTTAATTTGAAGGACAATTTATGTAACATCAAGAAAAAAAAAGTGCTCTGAGATTAATTTTTCATGACATACTAGAGTTATAATATAAATCTCCTTAAAATGATGGAAGTTAAATTGTGCAAGGAAAAAAAAATCAAATTAATTTGTTTAGAAGTTCAAATTAAAAATGAGGACTAAAATATCAAATTAAAACTTTGAAAAAAATAGATACTAAAAGTTCTGGGGCTATTTTGAACAAAATAGAATAAGTTGGCCTTGGAAGAATTGGAATCTATTGAAAATTATGTAAATTTCGGTCAAAAAGTAAAAAAAAAAAAAAAAAAATTAAAAATCCAGGTCAACCCGATTTTAGTCAATTCACGGTTCGAGTGGAGTTTTGACCGGTTATGACTGAAACACTTTTTAGCGATTTTATGCCTTGTTCAGCTCATCTTAGGATCCAGTTTCCAATTTAACCAGTTCAACCGACCGGTCTAAGCCGAGTATGACAACATTGTTCATTTGATAGAAGTTTTGCTCCCTTGTTTTGAGGGGTTTTGGTTCTCTCTTTTTAGGAGGGCTTTGTTTCTCCTTTTCTTGTCCACCTAGTTGGTTTGTCGGGAGATCTGATTAAGCAAGGAAGACCTATAGCTTAATTGAACGGAGAAAGATAAATTATGGGCTAAAAGATTAGTGAAGAACAGATTTGCTCCGGGTATAACTCTTATAGACGTTAAAGATCTAATGTAAAATGCTAGATCTACAGTGCAAGTAAGATAGTAGTAAAACTTAACTGTAGAATGTGAAACATCATCAATCGTTTATGAAAAGAGAACCAAACACAAAATTTGTAATAAGTAAAAGCATCCAGAAAATAAAACGGAGGTATATTTGAATGAAAAAAAAAAAAAAAAAAAAAACAGTACAAAGAGGAATACCTTGTTGATGGGCTTCCGAAGTTCCGATGAAGCAGAACTATGGCCAAACTCTCTTTCTCAATCTACTGCTAGGAAAACTTTTCAAAAAGATCTAAAAGCCTAATACTTTCAACAATTTTAGAAGTGAACATTGATCTATGATTTATAGTGGAGATTATTGAATCTAGGGTTCTTGGCTGAAAGTAATTGGGGAGAAAAATCAGCTCTGTACTTTTTTGTGTGTTTCCGTTAAAGAGAAAAGTTACAGTTTTTACAAATGCCAAAAATTGACTATATATATGGAGACTTTCGGTCAACTTTACACAAACGGTCCCAGGACTTTAGTTGGGAAGCTGTTAAGCGCCCTAATTTTCTCCTTTGAACGCTCTAAAAAAATTATATTTTGACCATTTTGCTCTTATTATTATTATTTTTTAAAAAAAAAATATTGGCGAAGGACATTTACGCCAACCGTTCATAGCTGACGCAGGAGAAAGGCTCAATTTTCTCGCCTCCCAATTAAAGGAGGCGAGAAAAATTTTGCTGTCCAAAATGAGGGCGGCGCAAAAATCTGCGCCACCCCCCTCAGACGCTTGCCAAACCGAATTTTTTTTTAATTTTTAATTAATCAATTTAATTAATTATTTAATTTATTTAATTCATTTAGTTATTTAAATTTATTTTTTATTTATCCATTTGGCGGTTGAATAAATAATTTTAACTTAAATATTGGACTTTGTAATGGTATAAATTAAATGACAACAAGGTGCAGTCTAGAGGTAAGACATCTCACCTTTGACCAATAGGTCACGGGTTTGAGTCACATAGGGGGTAAATGGGGAATCACTATTAATCCTCTTTTAAAAAAGAAAAAAAAAATATTAAAAAAACTAAATAAATAAATAAAAGTATTTTATATCCTTTCCATGCTTTTTAATTTTTCATTTCAACGTATTTTATATTTTATATTTTTTTCCAAAAAAATATTTCCAGGACAGCTAGATGCACCGATGATAAATAATTAATTTGTTTGGTAGTAAATTCATAAGTTTTGGTTTTTATTAAATGATAATTTTTTGTTTAAGTTTAAAAAATTTTACATAACTAAATGATAAATTTTTATAAAAATTTACTACGTAATTAAGCAACATTCTCTAAATATTTATGTTAAAATTATTTGTTTAACCACCAAATAAATAAATAAAAAAATAAACTTTAATAAATAAATAAATTAAATAAATACATGAATTAAATAAATTCATTAAACTAATAATTAAAATAAATTAAAGAAATTAATTAAATACATTAAAAAATAATTAAATAAATAAATTAAAAAATTAAAAAATTTAAAAAATTTAAAAAAAAAAAGTAATTAAGGTAGGTGTCGCCATTTAAGGGCGCCATACCTTCGCCATGCGACGAAGGTTTTCTCGAAAGGGAAGCGCGATTATTTCACACTACCCCTTAAAGGGGTGGCTTCTTCCTCCCTCACCTTACTTTTTTTCTGCAAAAAAAAAAAAAATAATGTAACTTCATTTTGCAGGGGCGTGTATGTCATTTTTAGGACGTTCAAATGAAAAAATTAGGGCACTCAACAGCACGACCCATGTACAAAAGGAAAAAATGCAATTTTCGTTCCCCAGGTTTTGAGTGTAACAAAGATCGAGTCACCTTTAACGGCCAAACCCTTATTCAGTTAATTCCTTATTTTTTAATAGTTTTTTACTGATTCTGGGACCCACACCTTTGACCTAGGAAAAAATTATTATTTTTCTTTTTCATTTCTTTTATTAAAATTTAATATTATTATTTTTATTTTTTTTGATAACATGTTTATGTTTTGTTTTTCTTCAAACCAAATCGGGCCTTCACACTCCAGCAACAACGGCGAGGAGAACATTGCTCTGTTCATTACCATTTTCCAATTCATCGACTACTTAATTTCATTACCAGCTACTTTGAAACACCATCCCCAACCTCCTGAAGCTATTTCATCAATTAATTTTAACTTTTGATAATAAACTGCTTCAAATCAAAGTCTAACCACCCAATTTCAAACTTATTCTTGAACCCAAAAAAAAAATAAGAAGAAGCAGAGGGGAAAGGGGATTCAATCGTGGGAAATTCATCGCAATAGACTAAACTCTAAGATAAATCGACCGACATCATTTATGCCCAAAAAAAAACCATCGCATCTGAATCCCCAGGAAGGCAGGAACCGGTAACAATGTAATCCACGGCATCATCGGGCTGGCATATGTTAAGCGGGATGGCGGCGAATTGGGTGGTGGCGCCACCTTGGAGGAAGAGGACATCATAATCAGCGAGAATGTTGGAGAGCTCCCCCAGATCTGATTCGGCCTTTTGAATAATGGAGAGGAACTCCTTACCACGGTGGCTCATCTCCATCACCAACATACCAGACCCAATCCCGTGTACTAGCACAAGAAAAGGTGCATGGATTAGAATTAGAAGAGGTGTGTGGATCAGAGTTAGATAATTATTAAAGTGGACCAAGAAAGAAGGGGAATGACTCAGGAAGAGGGGGGTTGGGGCGGCGGCTGCTGGATGAACATGTTATCAAAACATTAATAATATTAAATTTTAATAAATATACAAGAAAAAAATTAAAAAAAAATTTTTGGTCAAAAGGCATGAGCCCCAGAATCAGTAAAAACTATTAAAAAAATAAAGATTTAACGGAATAAGGTTTTGACCCGTTAAATTTGAAAATTTTTTGTTAAATTGACCAAAATTGATGAGAAAAACATTTTACGGGATCGTTTTTGCTAATTGAAAATTCATGATAACTCGATCTTGCTACTCTCAAAAGCTGCGGGGACGAAAAGTGCATCCGGTCCTGAACAAAATAACCCCAAAACATAAATAAAAGGTTTCTTATCACAATACAACACAAAATTACACAAAATACATTTACAACAATCAGCTTTCTTCTTCTTTGTGTACTGATTTTACATCCCCCCTCAAGCTGGTGCTGAAAAAGCCTTCAAACCAAGCTTGGACAACAAAGAAGAAATAACGGGATAAGACAAAGACTTCGTGAAAATGTCAACTAGTTGTTCAGTAGTAGGAACATGTAATGGAACCAAAAAACCCGACTGGTAGTAATGGCAAACGAGATGACAATCAATTTCGAGGTGCTTTGTTCTCTCATGATAAACAGGATTTTCAGTTATGTAAATTGTAGACTTACTGTCACACCATAAAGGCACCGGAAGAGCAAGATAGACCTGAAAATCTTTTAACAAGTAGGAGATCCACAAAAGCTCTATAATAGTAGCACTTAAGCTCCTATATTCAGCTTCAGCTGAAGAACAAGAAATTGTGGTTTGCTGCTTTGTCTTCCAAGAAATCAGAGTTGGCCCAAGAAAGATGCAAAACCCCATCAAAGATCGCCGATGGACTGGATTCCCTCCCCAATCAGTATCACTAAATGCTTCCACCTTAAAATCATTAGAAGAAGAATAAAACAAACCATGTGATGGAGTACCTTTTAGATACTTTGACACATGTAATAAGGATTTCCAATGGAGCTGGCATGGATGTTGAACATGCTTACTCAACTGCTGAACAACAAATGTGAGATCAAGTCGAGTAAAACTCAAGTATAGCAGCTGTTCTACTAATTTTCTGTAGAGAGAAGGATCAGAAAGGGTTTGACCGCAGTTTTCAAGAAACTGATGGCCCTTGGAAAGCGGAGTACAAGTAGGTTTACAGCTCAACAAACCAACACTTCTTAAAAGATCAAGAATATATTTTCACTGGCTGAGATACATGCCATCGACCGACCTAGCAATTTCAACGCCAAGAAAGTATTTGGCATAATCTAGATCTTTAATGGTAAAAACTTTATGAAGAAACTTCTTAACTTCAACAATGGCAGCTTCATCACAGCCAGTAATAATAATACCATCCACATAGATGATTAAGGCAAGAAATAGATGTCCAGACTTGGTAAATAAACAT